TAAACCCTTGCTGTATTAATGGGCCTCTCCTGCTTTCCCCTTAGGCCTCCAGCTCCTCTGGTGGAAAGATGCAACTTCTGGAAAACGAATTCTCACGGACCGTCCGGGAGCTCATCGAGCTGCACCTGCTGCACCAGGACAGCATCCCTGCCTTCCTCAGCGCCCTCACCCTGGAGCTGTTCAGCCGCCAGACCATCGCGTAGCACACAGACCTGCTGCCAGCTGCCAGCCAGGCACGGAGCACCCCAGGGCAGGGCACTGCGGTGTTCACCAGGTAGTGAGGATGAACTCTCCCCTCCCACCCTTCAGTCATGACATTGGGTTGCTTCTGTTTTGAAGGAAGGTCCTTATTCTTTCTTCTTTCACGCTGATACCCAAATCCCACTGTTTTCTCTGATCTATCCCTCCTGGGTGAGGGCTGTATCCCGGGGCTTTCCTGTGCAAAGATGGAGAACAGGTCTTGCATTCTCCACCTTTGAATTGTGAGAGGCATACATCACTCTCCAGACCACCTCAGCACTTCTCCAGGAATTGCTGGTTTGAGGAGCCAGACCTTTACCCAAAGGTTTCCCCAGATCCAGGCCCTGTAGAGATAGGTGTGGGCTTTGAGGGTGGCAGGTTCCTTCTGGATACCTTCTGCTCTTGCATACACTTCATCACTCAGTGGGATTGGGATTATTTCCAAAATATTCAGTTGCCCAAATTGGCCCCCAAGGTACCAGCAAGCATTTCTGAGCAGACATGAGTAAGAATAAATGGACTTCTGAAAATCTACAAGTGTGTTTGACACCTCAGTGTCTGTGTTGCACTCAGGTGTCAGCCTTATGGTATTTGTTCCGCACTGGGGAGACTCTGGGCCTCCTGGTTATCTCAGGAATGTGGGAGGTAGCAGGGAACCCAGTGGGGGTGCTCTTGCTGCTGCTGCTGGCTCTCACCTTGCTGGGGATGTCTTTCCTCCTGCAAGCTTTTCTTTCCTGGGTGGAGGATGGGGCACTCCTGAATGCTAACATTGTGTGTTGAATGGTCATACCTCTTCTATCCTAAGAATAAAGTGTCACTTCCCAAACTGGATGTACGACTCCTTTATTGGGGAGGTACACCGTGCTTCCCCTGCGCTCTGCCATGTATGAAGTGCAGTAATGAATCATACCTCAGTGGTTCAACGCTGGTACTGCTTTGAGAAGGAAGGACATCATCACCTCAGTTTTGCCAGGCAAGTCTCATTCGTGCTGTAAACAAGATTGGTTTGTTATGAACTTCTGTGTATATTGATTCCCTCTTGATATCAGCAGGAACACGCTTCCTAAGCTTGGAGAGAACATAGCAGTAAGCAGGCCAGCTTCAGTGCTTACGGTGAGTGCAGGATTGGGCATCCGTGCTGGAGTCTGGGACCCGTCCATGTGTCTCCATGCACAGCTGCCAGGGCTGCAGGTGGGACAGCTGTGTGCTATGGGGAGCTGCAGACCCCCCGTCCCCCACCCTCCTCTCCGCGGGATTTGCAGAGAAGCGCTGCCATCAGGATGAAAGGTAACAGCAAAAGTTTGGCGTGTTCTCTTCCGCTTGAAGAAGTCCTGGTGGAAGATGGATTGCCTGGCGTGCTGTGCCAGGGGTATGCTGCCTGATTCATATGCGCAGCGTGGCGCTGAGAGTCGCCTTCCTCAGTCATGGGGAAAATGAATCATGACGTCAGCCGCGCTCGGCTCCTCCGCCAACACAATAGCAAATTCTGGCTGCCTCGGAAAATTTTTCTCCTGGCTCCTCGCAGGAGAAATGAAGTAATTAATAAGTTTACAATAAACCCTCTATCTTAGCAAAACACGGGTGAGGTGAGAAGTGATGCTGGAGAATGACAAGGGAAAAGATGTTCTTCTCGTTGGAAAGTTGCCTCCCAAGAGTGAAAGGATGATAGGTTGGGAAAAAGCAGGAGTCTTCCGAGACGCCTTCGGTGGGGAGGAGACACAGATGAATTGCCTCTCTCCACCTCTTCCCCAGCAAGACTGATTTGTTCTGCTATGTTTAATAAGCCAGCACGTCTGGGAGAGAAGTGTTGCAAAGATGGGTGCTTGGCCAGATGTGCCTGCGTGGTGCCAAAGCTGGCAGTGCTTCTGGAAGCTGCTGGGACCATGGTCCTGCTCCAGCCAGCAGCATCCCTGCTCTGCTGCTGTGTAATGCTGTTGGATAGTGGGCAGCCTTGGGGACTGGGTGAAGCCAAGGCTTTAGGGAAGCTTGGCTGCTCCAAGGCTTGTTTGCAGAGCCTGGGAGCACTCTCATGGAAGCATGACCATTGCAAAGCCACCTTTGCCACCCAGACGTGGGTTTGTGGTCAGGTTTGGAGCGGAGAAGCTGAGACTCCAGCTTCCATCTCAAGCACTGAAGACCTGGTGGCCAAACTCTGTGCCACCATCATCGTATCGCTCCTCTCACCCATGAGCGAGCCATTAGGAATAGTTATGATGCCAGACTTCACTGTGATCATCCCTTCCACCTAGAGCTACCCCAACTCAGCCCATTGCAGGGCTCTGCCATTCCACTCATCCCCTCGCATCCCCCTGTACACAGGGGCAAGGGAACAACTGAGGCACAGTCTGCTGCTGGTTTGCAGTTTGCAAACACTCCAGGTGCCGGGTGCATGAGTCCCATCTGTCTTCAGCTTGTCACTTGCAAAGCTCCAGCCCTCTTTGCAGAAAACCATTTTAGAAAATCTTGGGAGATCAGTAATAAATTTGCAGTCGGTTGGAGGGGAGAGGCGAGAGTGTTAACAAGTGTGTGTGTGCTTGCTGGGTCCCCGTGCACGCTTACTGGGTTTATGTGCTATAAGCTGTAAAATATGATTTATTAATGCACGGCTGAGGGACTGTGTGTGTTGGAGCACTGTCTTGTTTGCAGTGCTGCCTGAAGCTTCCCTTCACTCAAACTGCTTGTGCGTCCCTACTCTCTTACTGATCAGCCTTCTCATCTGCGTGCATTTATAAATAATGAGCAGGGGTAAAGAGCTGTCAGGCACTGCCACACAGTCCTTGAGCACAACGGAGCTCCTGGCTAAGGCACGTGTTGCCAAGCTTGTGCCTCTCCTAAGGTTGCATCAATGAACCTGGAGCTTTACGTTCCTGTGTCATGTCTCCTGGCTCTTTGTTGTATGTATCAGCCTGAGCTGCCCTGGGAGTGGTGCCTGAGAATTGGCTTAGGAAGCCCTATTGGAATGGTCCATGGGTAGCCTGAGACGTAGCTCGAGTGTTTGTAGATGTTAATTGTGGTTGAGCACAGCTCATCCCTAACTCAGGCATGGAGCCTGAGGAGCCATTTCGATTGCATTGCAGGGCCAAGGGTGGCCAACCTGGCCACTGTCTGGGCAGTCCTCGGTTCTCTATTTGCCTGAATGGAGGAGTGAGAGCTGCATCAAGTCAAGGGGATGCAGTGGGGCTTGGGGCATGGAGCATAATGGGGAGGAGCTGTGCTGCTGCTCCAGGCTCTTGGATTTGCTTCCTGCCTTCATACAAACAGCCTGACTTAAGCACCACAGGCTCTGTAAAAAGGGAATATCACGTCCTGGTCACAGTCTCCCAGAGCTGCCATCCTGAAGGCCCAGTGTTGTTGGATCCAAATGCAGCCCGGAGGTTTGTCCTGCTGGGCACAACACCCCGCAATGCCCACTTTGCTGCTGCAGCTCCATCACTCCATGCAGCTCATCCCAACACACCAAAGAAGCACAGAGCAGCAGCACAGGCTGAGGGACAGCTGGAAATGGTGTGAGTGGGGCTGATGGATGAACGCACTGGGATGTGATTGAGGTAAGGCCAGACCCCAGCACCAGTGATGCTCAGTGTGGGGGTTGGTTCTGTTCCAGCTTCTCGCTGCTCAAAGACAGTGAGAAGAGTGTTGGTGTGAGATGACACGTGTTGATGGCTAATGATCACACGTTTGTGATGAGGCAAAGCCAGGAAGGGCAGCACAGGCTTTGCACACTGCTGTGAATCTCATCCACGCTGCCCTGCTGTGACTGCAGCGCCGGCTATAATAGCAGCGGTGCTAAAAGTTGCATGATATTTAAAAGCTACAAAACGCACCCGCTCTGATCAGCGGAGGGCTATTAGGTAAGTAAATAAATAAATAAGTAATCAGCGAGGCTTTCTCATGAAGTCTGCTTTAAATATTAAAATCCCAACCTTCCCAACAGGAAAACATTTCAGGCTGAAGAGCGACTGAACGGCATCTGATGATATCGCATTGACACAAGTGTCTAAAAAAATAGGGTGGGAGTGTATGATCTGTTCCGAAACAGGAGCCCTGGCTAATAGGAAATACGCTGATGCTACTTTTAATTTCATGACTCAGGTTTGCTGTAAAATTGATGGGAATCTATGTTGGAGTTTGGTTACGTTCAGATGTTTCTCTGCTGCTTAGGGTTTGTCTGTTTGTTGTTTCACTTGGAGGGGATTATGGTGATGAATTGTTTTGGTACTCGGGGGGGTTCTTAGATGTTATCTGACAAGACAGCCGGAGCAGCCTTGCTTTAGAAAATCTGGGATCCAAATAAATAAAGATGGGCTGCAGAAATTTTTACGTGCACCTACAGATCAGAGTGCCGTGCGGGCTGGGAGCACAGCAGCACTGTGGCAGGGAGCAGCCCGGGTCTGTGATCCCCACCCAGCCCAGCACCACAGCACAGCTCTGCTTCCTTCAGGCTTCCTCAGTTCTCTCTCCTTGCAATGGGATCGAGCATCTTGCGGCCCCATCTTCCCTGTGCTGTTTCCTGGCCCAGCACTGATGAGTTATTAGTGTTGCTAATTTTACCTGATGCTGCTTCCTTCTCTTTGTGACAGGTTGTGTTGTTTTGAACTCTCCGGCTGACTGATGGAGCTCTCTTTATTATTCCCTGTTTTACTTTGAATTCTGTTTGTTGGCTCTTGCTTGTTGTGTTTTGGGTTGTTTTTCTTTAATCCTCCCACTGCTTTTTTTTTCCTCCCCGGTCCCTCTGATGCCGCTCCAAGTTGGAACAAAGCCAGAGACCATCAGGAGGTCATTGAAACACAGACGGTTGTTGGATTTAAATAAGGACTACATAATTTTATGACCATTAACAAGACTCGCTGCTCTGCAAGCTAGAATAATAAGGGCAATCATATCTCATGGTTCGAGGAGCAAGCTGATTGCCTGTAGGGACTGCAAAGGTAATTCTCCATCCCTGACCCCCCCCAAAATATCACACAATTGACCAGATGCACTGGACAGGTCAAAGGGAAAGAGGGCACAGGGCTTTGGTGGAAGGCACGAGCATTCCTGCATTACCACATCACACTCCTTATATCTACTGATCACAGACTGCCAGCATCAATATGGTGGGAAGTGTTTTCCAAGGAGGTGAAAGGCTCTGAAGGTTGGCAGAGGAATCTTTCCTTTTCCCGTGTGTGTACTTGGGTAACATTCATGCTGTTCGGTTGCAGGCACTTCATTTGGTGGTTGTGGTGGCTGGCTTGTGCTGTCACCACAGTCCCTGCAAAGAAGCTGCATCCCTGAAGAGGGGATGGTTTGGGTATTAGGTGGAATATTAAGAGAAAATGCTTCCCAGACAGGGCTACAACATTTTGGAATGGACAGTTCATAGAAGTGGTGGAGTCACAGTCCCTGGTGGTGTTCGAGGAACGTGGAGATGGGGCACTGAGGGTGCATGGTGAGGATGGGTGGGGGTTGGACTAGGTGATCTGAGAGGTTTTTCCCAGCTGTAATGATTCTGTGATTCTAAAGGGAAATCAGAGCACAAACCTTGCTTGGGTCCTGAAGTCTGGCGGTGCCTCACGCTCCCCATTGGCCATGGGGTGCAGAAGGGGGACCAGCCAGCTGCACAGCGGTGGCAAATGGCCCCATCCTTCCTTCACCCCTTCTCCCCTCTGCAGCTCAGCATGCACGTCCCTTGCCTCAGCTCATTCTGGGACTCACGCTGCAGCCCTTGGGGCCCTACGTGATCGCTCCCATCCCGCTGTTGGAAGCAGTGCCCTTGATTGGCATGCTCTGAAGTGACAGCTCCGCTTGCTGAGTCCCAGCAGGGAAGGAGCAGCCTTGGAGAGGAGGCGATGGCAAGGAATGAACCAAACCCACAGAGAACAGCACTGCTCATCCTGGCAGCAAGGAGGAGGAGAGAGAAGAGCCATCCAGATAACGCCTCCCTGGAGTGGATCCATCCTGCCAGTGTCTTTGGGTACACCTGCAGGTAACCAACACCTCACTTTTAGCTGGACCCTACTGCCCAGTGATGCAATACCCTGAGCCCTGCCCTGGTGCAGGCACTACATCACTTAGGGGTTTTCATCTGGGCTGTGAGATCCCTCACCTGGTGTGGACACCACAGTGTGCTGCTGGCCCTGAGGTGACAAAGCGCTCGTTAACTTTGCTAACTCATTACCAAACTGAGCACAGAACAGATCCTAGGCAATGCTAATGACTGAGTTTAAGGGATCACTGGAGTGGTAAGCCATAATTAATGGTCTATCACAGCACTTTTTATTTAATTACGCACAGGCTGGGCCCCAGTGGGTGGTCACAAGGGTGGCTTTGGGTGAGTGCATGGCACCAGTGTGCTATGTTACCAGTACAGCATCCATAGTACAACAGATGTGTGATGCCTCCATTTAACCACACAGCCTGGGAATGGAAGGTGTGGTTTCCATCTCCCAGAGTGTGCTGACCGAGGACGTGCAATTAGAATGCTGAGGGTAGGAGGAACTCCCACTTGCATGGATTGCTCAGGTCCCTGAGCCCCCAGCCCAAGCTCATTCCTGCCCTGTGCAGAGACCCCATGGCACCTCTCCCTCAGCCCACTGCACTCCTCCTCACTCCTAACAAAGGGGAAGAGGAGGACGGGTCATGAGGCCAAAACTGAAGTGGTCCAAGGGAGGACTACCAGCCCTGTGGCCCCAGTGCAGCCCATTCCCATGCCTGCTCTTCTCTGGCTTCAGTTACTTTTGGCCTTCCACTGTCCCCAGATCCTGCAAGCGGTGTTACTCGTAATGAATGATCTTGTCCTCCTTGTTTGTCTCCTCTTTAGTGTAACACTGTAATTAGCTTAATTACCAACAGATTCTTTTCTTTTTTTTTTTTTTTTTTTTTTTTTTTTTTTGGTAACTTGAAATGGAAATTAAATTTTGCACCAGGTTTACAGGCTGTTAACGGGAGTCGAATAATCAAGCCTGACTCCAAGTCCTTGAAAATGAGTATTAAAAAAGGTCTGAATTTGCATATTCATGTTTTTAATAGGGTTCAGAAGGTATATTTGCAACTGATGAAAAGGATTAATTAAGCCTAATTTGCATAGGAAGAGTAGTTTAACTCCTTGCATCCCAGCAAGGCAGAGAGTGACAGATGGAACAGCAGGGCTGGGTGCTGGAGGTGTGGGCACATCCTGTTGAGCATCACTTCTGCATGTGAGCAGGACAGGACCAGGGGAGCCCAGGATCTCAGCATCATCCTGGCATGCCCCCCCAGCACCAACGGCCCCCTGCTGACTTCATCCTCTGGCCCTCCACTGTGAAGCTGTTGTGACCTGGGTCTCCCATGGCAATGCCAATATTATCAGCTGTTGTGTCAGGGCTTGAGATAAACCACATTGCTTCTGATCTGGGGTGCTCTATGCTACTTTAAGGGCTGACAGCGTGCTGCAGTTGGAGCACCAAAGAGTGGGAATGCAACACTTCCCAGAGCCCTCTGTAGCTTAGAATGGAACACAGCTTTGAGTCAGAGAATGTGGCTAGAAAGTGGGGGAAAAAATGAATCAGGCATTCATTTTGCTTCAGCAGGTGGTGTGCTGTGCTCCCCTTGTAGTGCTTTGGTGGTGTGTGTTGCTAATTATTTTTCGGGTGGAATTTGCTGTGCACAGCACGCGGGGTTCATTAGACAGAGATGGCTTTGAAGTGGCATTTGGAATTAATGCTGGCATATGTAAATGTTTCTTGTGCCATGGAAGAGCTGGCTATAAATGATGCATGAGGTCCAGTGAAAGAGATACTTGCTTTGTTTATACACACCCATCGGGCTGCGTGGTGCCAAAAACAGGCAGAAGAAAATCAGCAGTGTCTTGCACGGTCCGTATATCTGCTTCCTGGCCATGCATGCATGCTTAGCAGAACATAGCATGGCATTGCTAGCACACAGCATCCCAAATTTCCTCTGGTCGGGAACCTGTGTTGGAGCCCTGACATGGCTGCTGCTGCCTCTGCGTGTGGCACTGTCCTCGTGTCACCCAGCTCAGAGGAATATTTAGGAGTCACCTTGTAAATCACCGTGATGCAGTGATGGAGGTCTGAGGTCAGGCAGAAATGAAGTGGCGTTGGACAGATCCATTGGGTTGGACGTGTGTTGGACATCTCCATTCCATCGCTCATCACACCCAGACAGGAGGCACTGAGCTGGGGGGCTGCACCTATGGGTGGTGCTCCCAGGACAGGCTGCCAGGTGAGCTCCCTGCAATGGGCCAATGGGGAGAGGAAGGAGCTGGCCGAGACTCTGTGAACGAGTGCTGAGATTCTGTTGTATTTTCCTGCTTCCAACTGCTTGTTTACCAGCACGTTGGGAAGAGCAGTGATCTCTCTTCCTCGTGCCTTATTGAGAAGCTCAGCTGTGAAACAACTAAATGAACCATCCCTTTTTATTAGCCTTTGGACTTAGCAGAGGAGCAATCAGTTAATGGCTGACCAGTTTCTGAAGATGCAAGATGCTAAGCACATTACAAGTGCTAAGTATTACTATTTTCCTTGCAATGTTTCATTTTTCCCTCTGAATATTCAGTTTAAATAACCTTTCCAATTACATTATCCAATTTCATGCGCTCTGCTCAGATTAGAAGTGGTGCTGCTTACAACTGCCTCACCTACATGGTTTCCAGGTCTCTGCAAATCTTCTCCTGACCTTCGCCTCCTGGTCCTGGGCTGAAAATCCCTTTGCTCTCGGTCCAGCATCCGCCCCATTTTTGCTTTGGCTTCTTAAAATCAAATGCATCCACATTGCTTCCCCACAGGCACGTCGACCTCTGGTTCCTCTCCCTTGCATGTTTGTTTTTCTTTCTTAATGGAGGAACATCTCGCAATCTTTCCCCTCCTTCCAGCTAAATTGGGTCCTGGATAAGCTGTCTTCTTCCACCCGCTGCATCTCCCTCGGGTGCCTGCTGATGTTTTGATTTCTTCTTTGGGAGAGAGGAACAGATCACACCGGTACCAGAGGTGCATCCTCACCTGGAGGCCTGCAGCCATGTGTAGCAGTGGCTGCATGGGAAATGTGACTGGCTCAGAGCTATGCTCACCATGGACATAGGTTGGGGGCAGCTGTGCCCCTGATCTCCTCAGTCCCTACTGCCCATCTCCATCACACCCTGAGCCATGCGGTGTTCCTCCAGCTGTCCTTCAGGAGCAGTGCTCACCCCGCGAGGCTGGAGGAGGCTGTGGAGCCGCACAGGGGCTGTGAGCTGTCAGGATGTCTCACACATTGGGGCTGCCACGTTTCTGAGTTTTCCCAGACAGAGATGCGTGCGTGCGAACCTTGCTGTGGGTGTAGTATTGTTAGAGCCAGAATGATCTAAGGGTGTAATTGAGGTACGGTTTGTATGGAGAGGTAATACCTCTTATTGCAACAGCTGGGAAAAAAAAAAATTGCATGAGCTTTTGGGCACAAGTATTGAGGTGTCCCATCGTATTTCTGAAGATGAGGGTGAACCCGATGACGATGCTGCTGTGGGGGGAGCCCCAGCATCGGGCTGGGAGCCGTGAGGTGAGTGGGGTGGGAGGAAGCATGGTGCTGTGTGGAGGCTGAGCGCTTCTTTTCACAGCTGAAAACACTGAAGAACATGATGGGGTCAGAAGAGAGCCCTGTGATGAGCAACACAGCTCAGGGACAGCACTTGTGCAGCTTAATGGAAAAGATGGACCAGGAGAGGAGAGCTTATTAGAAAAGGGCACTGCCCGGTGAGGAGGGGAGAGGATATAAACCACGAGAAAGCTGCTAAAAGAGAGAAATGGAAATCTTTTAGTCTCAGAGAATGCAAGGATGGAGTACATTAATGAGCTCCTTAATGGCAAGGCGAGTAAAGGTGAGCAGCAAATGGCTATTTGCAGTTGGCCAAGCTTTGTGTGAAAAAAGAGGTGGTGGTGGTGGGCGAGAAGTGATGAGCACCTGGAGGAGCAGCAGAGCACCCATGTCACTCACATTCCCATTGAGTTATTAAATAGTCAGACACATGCAAAGCCAGAGACTTGGCAGGCTCTTCAGATTGCTCTGCAGTGACAGAGGAGTTGCAGAGGGTGGGAAATGGGCTCTTTGCTGTCTCATTCGTGCCAAAACTAAGGGTAGAAAACAAGAGAAAACTGGCATTCTACTTGGTGCTGAAAATCCCCATTCCCGATACTTCTGTGTCTCCTTCTTGCACAGAGGAAACTGTGTCCAGAAAACTGGACTCTGGATCAGACAGTTCCACTTTGTTAAGTGCTGGTGAGAAGTGGGAATGAGCGCAGCTGCTGTTCCTGGACTTATGAAAGGTTTTTGCAGTGAATGAATTCAATTCCTGATAAAATCACTGGTGTCATGAAGCTCTACATTTGCAGTGCCCAAGGGTCAGTGAGCTGGGCTCTATGCAGGGCTGAGGGTCTCCTGCTTTCTGATGAACCCATGGAGGACACCATGTGGCCGCTGCAAAGCTCTCAAGGTAACATCTGGGTAACTCCTACCAACCTTCTGGTGATGGTAGTGGTCTGGCCAAGAGCACAATGATACAAAGGAGACATGAAAAAGAGGGACATGAGTTAATCCAAGTGAAGCCCAAGTGCTTCAAGCCAAGGTGAAGGCAGCTTCACTGCCTTCTGGGCCTTGGGGCATTGGCTGGCAGCAGTGATTTGGTGCAGAAGGAAAGGAAGGTGCTGTGCAGCTCTCCCATAAGGAACACTTTTATCTCTAGACAGGACCCATTCACAACAATTTTGTGGACATGGAAAAGGCATCTGCAGCGTACATTTGTTTATGGCCCTGGGGCTGTCAGCATTGTCCTACAGGGAGCAGCAAAGCCCTTGTGGAGAGGGAGTTCCATATGATGGCTGTAGGTACGGGGTGGGCTGGGAGGAGGCAATAGGATGGGAACTGAAGTGTGACAGCAAGGAGCAGAGAGCAGGGACATGTGGGCACCAGAAGAACTTTGGGGAAGCAGAAACCCTGGGAAGTGGTGGTGGAAATGTGAGCTCTGGCCAGAGAGGAGATTTCTAGGAGTGACTCAAAACAGAAGAGGCAACAGATCTCTCGGCTCCTTTTCTCTGTTTCATCGCCGCAGGGAAGCAACAGCTTGCTCTCACAAAACCCCTCTCCATGCAGCTCTGCTCCATGCCATGGTTGGCCTCTCCAGGGCTGCCGCCTGCATAGCTGCTCCTGCCTGGATCGTCTCTCACTGCCCATCAGCCCTCTGCCTCCCTTTCTGTCCCTTCCCTTTGCTCTCTGCGTTGGCAGAGCCCAGGCTGACAGAGGTTGGGATGGAGACCTTTGTGCCCTTGGTGCTGTCACCAGCAGTGTGATCGTGTTCTGTGCTGGCTGCCAGCTCTCTGCTCCCCCAAGGACAGAGAAGGCTTTCCCTTGGCCTCCCTTCCTCTGCACTCTGACATTGTGCCTCTCCTTTCTGCTTGGCGAGGAGCCCTCCAGTTTCTTTGGATGGCACTGGGGCAGTGCCTTGGCCAAGTAGGGCGTCATCTGTAGAAGCAGCTGGAGAGCTACAGCGGTTGAACAGAAGGCAAAACAAGAAAAGCACCCAACATCTGGCAGGTGGTGACATTTTCCCTGTGCTTTCAGAGCAATCTGTAAAGTATGTGCCTCTGGGGAATGAGGAATGCCATAAACAGAGCTTCCCAGGCCCCATCCTGCAGAACCCAAGTCAGTTCCTGCATAGGACACTGGCTTTGGGTGTAGTTGGACTCCTTCTCATTTCTTGCCTGGCTTATTTCAGTTCATCCCTCGGCCTCTGAGAGATGCAGACTGGGGCTGCCAAGGCTGTATTGTGTCATGGAGGCATAAGACTGGAGTGTGCTCTGCAGCATGGCCACTGCATCCCTCACTTGAGGGGCCCCCCAAGCTCCACGGCATTCTCCACTGCAAAGGGCTCTGCATATGGAGGTACTTCCCCTCAGAGCCAGAATAACGTGGATGTTTTCTAATCCTCTTTTTCTCTAGCTGCAGTTTGCATCTGGGAAGTGTTTAATTTTGAAAGGCCGGTGCTGCTGTATCACATATCCCGCATTGGTCTCTGTTGGTTTGTGACCAGAGAAATCCTGGTGTGAAAACAGAATTGGGCTTTGATTTCATCTGCCCCTGCTGTTTTATGCCATTAACAACTTTGCTTTCCTATAACAGCTTTTATTCTAGGAGCTAAACAGGCTTCACAGACAGGCAATTAATTAATTGAGCCTCCCCCACCAGCCTGTGCCCTCAGCACCACAAGAAAGTGAGCAGAGGAGAAAATAGAGGCAGAGAGGGGCAAAATGACTCCCCTGGGTACAGGGAACCCTGCCACTGTGTACAGGACACCTTCTTGCTGACCTCCTGCTCCTCCAGGAGGCACTGAGGGCTTCCAAAGGAAGCTGTTTGAGGCTGCAGGTTTTGCTTTGGCACAGTTGGGATTTGGGGACTGACTTGTGGCATCATGGGACAATGGAGGGGTGATGCTCAGCTCCTTTCCACATCCTGCTCACAGACTGCACGCTGTGGGGAGGATGTCATGCACCTGGAGGAGGAGGAGAAACGTGTCAGAGTGAATGTATTCCTGGAGAAATTGCCTGCTTTTTATTATGAAACCCGGCTAATGGGTTGTTGTCTACACAAATAACCATGGGGAACGAACTCGCGCGCTTCCCAGCCTGCTCCGTGTCTTCCCAGCTCAGCTCATTTCTGAACAAACATAACCTTTTGCAAGAATACCTGTCAAAATCACTTTGAAATATTGAAATAACAGGATGGGATGTAGTTTGCTGCTGGGCCCTAGTGCTCGTTTGTCAGGACTAAGGAATTCCATCCAAAGAGACTTTTGAGCAGGATGCAATGGAAAGGCCCCAGGAAGCAGCAGGGCTCTGAAGGGCTGTGTTTGGGATGTTTGTCACCTTGCTGGGCTTCCTTGCTGGGATCCCATGCGCTCACTGGGGGGAGCAAAGTGCTCCCTGGTCCTAATCTGGCCCCTCTCGGCATCAGCTGTGGGATGAGGCATGGGGTTTTGCCATGCAGCTGGAGCCATTCAGGGCAAAGCGGTGTCCTTCTGCATCATGGTGTGAATGCATCCCTCCTTCCACCACACTGAGTGAGTAGGGCATTGTCAATGTGCATTTTAGAGATGGGGCAAAATGCTATTGAGGCTCAGACAGGCATTGAACAGCAGTGGTTGAAGGGGATATAGCTGCTTGGGTGGACACAGGACCTGGTGCACCGTCCTTCTCTCTCCAGCCTTGGAGACCCCAGGGTGCCCATCTCCAAAGCCACTCACAGCAGTGGGAGCCCAGCTGGCCTGTGGGCAATGCCAGGGCTGCAGGCAGGAGGTGCTGTGCTCTCTGCCCAATGCTGCTGTAAGTTGGGGTTATCTGTGGGGAAATCCCTGTGCGTTGGGTGCTGGCAGTCTCAAGAGAGCGATGCAGGGCCCCCAGGCCCACTGTCGTTGTTTCCAATCTGGAGAATCTGTAAATGCTTAACGTCTTCTCCATTGGCAAAACCACTCCTCAATGCTGTCCTCCTCTGGACAGCAGCAGGAGGATTTCTGCACCACCTCCCTATACTGTGAGAAGAGATTACTGATACCTTCTGATTTTCAGGAGAAATCCCATGGCTTGTTGGCACCTGCTCAACAAAGAGCCTTTCCCTTCTCATCCCTTTTCCTGTTCCCACCATTCCCAGCGGTGACAGTGTCCCACCTGGGATGGCACGGCTGGTTTGCTTTTCTTGGGTACATGCAATTGAAAGTGATCAGAACTTGGACACAGACAGTAGTTGGGAGAAACCAAAACCACAGAGAAACCCAAATAATCCCTCCCCTCACCCAAATATCTCCTCCATCAACCAACCAACGAACCAATCACCAACCAACCAACAAAAAAAGTCCTTCAATCCAAACTCCATCTCTTTCTCTAAAATCCATGATTAAAACCTGGTACAAACATGTGAATATAGATATATATATATATATATATTTTTTAGTAGATGTAGTATTGTTTTTTTTTTTCTCCTCTCTCTTTCTCATTATACAGCAAACATTGCAAATATAGAAATTTTCTCTGTACAGTTAACGACTTCGGTTTACAATGCAATGTGTGGTAAAACCTCTCAGTGAGTGAAAATGTGAACGGGCCTTCAAGCGGGTGAAAGTCTAAACTGGAAGACTCCGTTTGCAAAAACAGCCCAAAGGATGGATCTCCTTCTGGTCTCTTTTTGGTTTTTGTTGCTGTTTTTGTTGCTGTTGATTTTTGGAAGGGTAGGAAGAAAGAACACAAACTGTTCACAAAGAATCCACAAAATCACGGAATAGGGATTCATGCAATGCAGTACTGGGGAACTCCAGACCTCCGCTCTCTGCCCGCTCCTTCTCTTTCTTTTCATATTTGACTTTTTCTTTTTTTCCTTTTTCTTTTTTTTTTCTTTTTTTTCTTTTTTTCTTTTTTTTAAAAATAAAAATGAAAAAAAACTTTTTTTTTTTTTTTTTTCACTCCACAGTTTGTTTTGTAAAGTTTGTGTTCAAATTTGGTGTGTGTCTCACCAACGTGAGGCCATTTGAATATCTCGCTTTATATATTATATAGAATATTTATAGCTTTTTCATAATTCTCTATTTTTATCGATTTATGATCGTTATTTTTGTTTGTTTGTTTCAAAGACAGTCTGAATAAAAATAGCTGCTGCGGATTTCTTTTGGTCCAGTTACTTTAAGTCACGAGTTGTGTGAGGACTCAGGACTTTTGCTGGGCGGAGACGCCCTTCCAGTAGTCTAAGATGTCGTGAAGATCCTCGTCTTTGGCAAACTGGACCTTTTTGCGCAGGGCATGGCCGGCTGCCATATATTCCTCCTCGTCTTTGTGCCGCTTGCGGTTGAGTTTGAAGCGTTCCCAGATGCTGTGCGATGGTTTGCAGGTGTACTCTGGGCTGGAGGTGTAGCTCAGGTTGTGGTATTGCGGCGAGAGCTGGGAATAGGCCAGGTCTCTGGGACGAGGCCGGGTCAGAGGCTCCAGGATGGAAGGCTTTCGCCCCGCCATGCTGTCGTGCTGCTCCCCTTGGTGCGAGCCAGGGTACGAGTGCCGGTGTTCGCTGTACTGCCGGATCTTCTCCGCCTCTGCCCGCAGGATGGCCGCGGCCGGTGTCACAGTGAGGATGGTGTCGGTGGTGGGGGACGTCTTCTCGATGTATTTGGCTTCTGATTTGTGGCCCGATCCCTCGGAGCGGTAGGACCTGGGGCTCCGTATGGAGCCACTGGAAGAAGTGCTGGAGCGTTTGGGGGCTGCCTCCATGCTGTGGTGTCGCTGGAGGGGGTGGTTGTAGCTTTCCTTGTAGACAGGGGAGAGGAATCCGTGCTTGCTGGGGATCTGCTCTGATAAAAGCACCAGCTGAGGCTCCACTGTGGAGACTGCCCCCGATTTCACCCCTTGGAAGGAGGTGGACTCAGATTTCAAGGCATCGATGCAATTGTTGATTATCTGGTTCACCTTGTCCACCTCCTTGGCAATGGTGGAGATCTCAGCCACGGAGCTCTGGGTGTCTGGTGCCAGGGACAGCTCGCAATCTCTCCTCTCAGGCTGCTCCCCCGTCCTCACCTCCATGTAGTTGCCCTTGGTGGCCTTGGGGGTCTCACTGCTGTCAATGAGCTTGTACTGCTCGACCTCACCAGCAGAAGGCAGGTAGGGGATGCGGGTCACAGTCTCCCCACCCAGCATCTGTCCCTGGGACAGCTGGGTGATGCTGGTGGTCTCCATTTCTGGCCCGTACTTCAGCTCAATAATGGTCTTCTTCATGCCGCTGGCAGCCTTTTTGTGCTTCTCCTCCTGCTGGCGTCTCTTTCGGAGACAGTAATAGACAACGCCCAGGACAATCACCATGCCAAAGAGACAGCCCAGGATTGTCATGATGTAATGAGTGGCAGTGGAAGGAGTGGGCACCGGCTCCTTGCGGTTGGGTCTGGTGGGCGTGATGGTGACGCAGGTGTGGTTGTACTTGGAGTACTGGTGGACGGAGACCACACAGTAGGTGTAATCTCTTTGTGCTACTAGGTTGCTCACGGTGATGTTCTCCTCCTTCTTCCTGAGCTTGGTGATCATGGAGGAGAAGCCGTTTTCAAACTGGGAGAGGATATACATCTTGCTGAAGGGGTAGGGGATCTGCACGGTGAGGACGGCCGAGTTGTGGTTGAGGTGCTTCACCTGGATGTTTGGCCGCACCTCTGTCTCACCAATGGGCGTGAAGAGGGAGAACTGTGGGGTGGTGCCATCACCAGAGGAGCACTCCTCCTCGGAGCACGGGCTTTCGGAGGGCACTGTGGTCACTTGGTAGCGGGGAGGGATAAAACGAGGGATCACAGTGTAGGAACCACCGGTGCAAAGGGAAGAGAGCATGCTCAGAGCATTGCGGTAGCCAGTCCGGCCTTGACCTAACAAGTAGTAGCCCGTGTAGTCTGGTGGGGAGTCGCACTGCATCCGGTCGTACGTGCGTGTCATGTTGGTGAAGGCCTCCAGCCATTGCAGGAAGCCAAGGAGCTCGCAGGAGCAGTAGAAGGGGTTGCTGTAGAGTTCACAGACAGAGAGCTTGTTTAAGCCCCTAAAAGTGTTGCTGTCAAGTCTCTGGATCCTGTTCATGGACAGGTCAATGTTCACTATGTTGGGACACTCCCAGAAGGCATTGGGGGTGACGGACTCGATGAGGTTGGCCTGGAGATAGAGGTACTCCAGCTTCCCCAGGCCCCGGAGGATGCCCTCGGTGAGGTTCCTCAGGCGGTTGTAACCCAGCTGCAGCACCTGGAGGTTGAACTGTCCTGAAAAGGCACCGTCCTCGATGTAGGAGATCTCGTTCTTCGTCAGGTTGAGGTATGTCAGGTTGCCGAAGCGGCTGAGCGAGGCGTACTGCACGCTCTTGATCTTGTTGTCGTTCAGCCGCAAGTCCACGATGGTGCTGTTGATTTGCTGGGGGATGGACTCGTAGGGGGGCTGGTTTTGGCTGCAGATGGCCAGCCAGACAAAACCCTTGTCCCCCTCGATGAGCCAGCAGTCTGCCCGCACCCCACCAGCGTGCAGGAGAGAGACGGCTGCCACGCACATGCAGAAGGCTGACGTCGCAGCCCACCGGCGACCTGCCATCTGGAAGGGTGGCATGGAGAAGGGGTTTCTGGTCTGCTGGAAGCAGGGGGAGAGGCAGGGGCCGGGAAGACGTGGGTTAGAGCTCCTTCGGCAGCTTCGTTCTTCTCTCTCTTCTCCTCATGGCTTGAAGCTGCGGGGGGAAGTGTCCGTGGTGAATGTGGACCTTGGTGCCCAAGGGGCTCGGCAGCCACCGGCCGGGGGCTGCTCTCAAGGCCTGAGTGGCTGAGGTTGGTCCTGCATCACCAGGTCTCTGGCATCTCGGGGAGGGAGTCATGAATTTGGATGCCTGTGCCGAGGAGTATCTTTGGCTCAGAGACAAGCCTTCCTCTCACTTTTTATAGTATGTCTCCTTGTTCTCTTTCTGCTGCCCATCGTGATGCTGGTCCCCATCTCCACGTGCCTCCGTGGGGCTGGTTGTCCTTGCTTGGTTCCTCAGTTCACCTGTTCAAAACAAAACACAAGCTAAACATGAGGACAGACAATTCATGCTTAGCCGTGCACCCAGCTACCCTCTGTAATGTTAGGTGCTTGCCTTCTAAATCTGGCTGCCAGCATGCCAGTGGCCTTTTGCTAATTTGGGCACAGCCAACAGTGGCTTGGCATCACTAAGGCAGGTAGCCATCAACTGCAGACATCATCCTCCTTTGAGTGCATTGTCCAGTGTTACATTTTAGGCAGAGAACAACGTGCATCCAGGGCAACATTCGTCTGACCTATTTAAGTGTCTACCTTCAGAGGAGAGGAGTGGTGCCCCAGAAGTGTCTCTTCCTCTCTGCTGAGAGCAGATGAAGTCTAGACAACTCACTCTGATGTAGATTTGATGCTGCAATGTTTTGCTGAGGGGAATCCTGACTGTCTCGCATGCTGGTGTGTGCAGTAGCAGTGCCCACAGAGGGGGATGCTGATTGAGGACACCGTGTCTTCCTGACTGCATTGCTGTGTAGCACCTGGATAAAGCCCAGCATCAAGCACCTGTACCTGTTTCAGGGAACCTGAATGGTAGTTTCAGGACAGTGCTTGATTACAAGACACACTAAGTTGACTGATCATCATCCCATTTCCTTGTCCACTGTTGGGGCTTATTGCCTGTCTTCAGGACCTCTCTCTCCCTCCTCGCTAAAATAATGCGGAGTTGTGGAGGACCCTCAAGCTTTCACTGTATAACGTGGATATATGCAAAAGAAGAGACAAGACCTTCCCTCCCCAGACAAGAACAGCCACTGGAGAACTTGGAAGAATCTTCACTGGAAATGCAACAATGAGGAAAGAAGCCCATGAGGCCAGCAACCTCACTTTCCAATGAAAAACTCATTCCTGGCTCACATTTTCCGTTGAATTATTCCTGCATTTTTCCACTAAATATAAATATCCATTGGAAACATGGCAGCATGATTGAATTTCCATTACACGACTAGCAAGACCAGCTCTCACATCAGCTCTTGCATCAGCTTCAAATCCTTGGAGCCAGCGAGGAAGGAGAGGAGGACTGTTTACCTCACTGATGGGGAGATATGGGCAGCAGTGCTGGGCTGAGAGCCATCTGCCATCACATCCCTCCCAGAACTGGGCAACGAAGTTAATCTCGCTGCTCTCCAATCTCCTCTTTGGTACAGTGAGATAACGATGATGCATCACAGGACTGCAGGAGACTGAATGAGAGTGCCCCAAGTTCCTCTTGCTGGGATGGAAGTCCCAGCAGATGCATCGCTCCCTCCAGCTGGGAGAAGAGCTCTGGATGTTTCCATTGTTCTCTGCCACAGGGACCAGCCTGGTCTCCAGCTCCTCTGACTACATCCCATGAGGTGAATGTTGCCTGTAAGGATGCTGGAGAAGGGCAGAGATGGGTAGTCCTGGCCTATTAAGCTATCAGAAATAGATTGTCGTAGTTGTCCCCTGAGGATAGTGCTTTCTTGGCATCTTGTCATATTTTCTTCAGGAGGCACTCATTCCGTCCCTTCTAACTCCCACTTTGACTCAACCAACAGCTGTCTTTCCAAGCTGGTGTTTGAAATTGCTCTGCAAAGACAAACCAGCCTTTTCCATGTTGTGTTGCTGGGGAAGCTACAGCCCGCAGCCCATTGGAAGGCATGAGCTAATGGACCAGGACCATCCTGTGAGCAAAGAGCAGAGACAAGACCTTCCATGGATCTTGCCAGGCTAGCCTTCTCAACATCCATGTGCTTCTTTCATCTAATTGGAGGTGTCTGGGATGAGGAAGAATGACCGTGACTCAAACACATTCAATAAGGCTCCCACTGTGTGTTTTCTTTCCTGTATACTGCCTATCAGACAAGTCCTTTCTAACAACAGAAAGGAGGAAAGACATTTTATCAGCAGCCCGAGTTTAATTTCAGCTCATTAAAGCAAGCAATTTGCTGGTTTATTTGCTTTGCAAAGTGTGAATAAAATGACGGCATTAAGGAGATGTAAGAGGGGCTAATCTCCCTTTTTATTAGATTGCTGGGACCAGGCTGGGGAGTGGAGAAGTGGTCTTGTTGCTTTCCAGAGGAGATAACTGTTCATCTTGTTGGTTTCTGAAACAACTCCTTCCCCGCATCGTGGGTGTGTGTGGGTGTGCATCTGCATGAGTGCAACGCAGCCAGATGTGAGCATCCCATGAGGCAGGACGGATGGGAGTGGGGATCCCAGCTCGTATCCCCCTACCAGCAGGGGAGAGGGGGAGAGGTTCCCCTGCATCTTTTCCACAGAGTGGAGAAAAATCGTAACGGAAAGCTGAGGTTTTAGGCTCTCCTGCCTGCTCAATTTGTCTTTGCCCAGCTGTTTTGTCTTTATTCTCCTGGTAACCCAATGACACACCATGTATCCCAGTCCTCAGACCATCCACGGAGCTGCCTGGGAAAAACTGGAGACAAACTTAGGACTTTGAGGTGAAAAAAATGACAGGAAAGTACAGATTTGGGGGGTTCGTCTTTACTGGTTATGAAAGAAGGAAAAGAGAGGAATGTAGCTGGTATGGAGCAACAGGAGTAGATTTGAAACGACTAAATATATGCTGGAGAGATGCTGTGTCCTGGCCCCATGCTGCACTGACCACAGCACGCACTGGGATGCCCTGCAACAGTATTCAAGACTCACCTGTGCACTGCAGACATTGCTATGCTTTTCCTTTTGCTTTCACAGGGCAGCACTGTGGCCCTGGCCAGCCGAGATGATGTCAGGCTTATGTGGCCAGCATGTGGGCACTGAGAACTTCTTTGCTCCTAGCTGCTCCTACACATCTCCTCTGATCTGCAGTACCCATACCGGAGCCCAGATCTGTGATTTGCCTTGCTGACCCCCAACTCTGCTCCATGATGCTCTCTTGCAGTACTCTCCCGTGTTTCTCCAACTCAGCAGCATAAGTTTGTGATGTCTGTGAAGCTGCAGCCTGCACAGGATGAATAGCAACAACCCAATCCTGGCTGCAAATACACAGCAAAGGAAGGAAAAAGCAAAGCTGTGATTCCAAAAACCAGTGCAGACTGGCTGGTAAGTTTTTGCTTCCATCTCCCAACTAATGGCATCTCAGTAAATTAAACCAGAGCAGCAGCTGCAAGGAAGCAAACAAAGCAGCCGTGGGGGCTGGGTTGAGGGAAAGCAAGCCGGGCTGCACATATAATGCCACCCTGGCACTCAATTCCTATTTTTGTTGTTCTACTGAATGAGTTATTTCAAATTGTGGATTAGATTTACTGAGAGAAGGCAAAGAGCCAGACTAACATGCGTGCGTGTGCACACATACACACCGCCGTGCTCCCCTCCTTGGCAACTCTGCGTCTCCCATAACTTCATTCTCCCCAGCTGTTCCATCTCCATCTGGCCACGTTTCAGCGCCTCTTAGATCTTCTTTCACAGTCACTCAGGTCATTTTCTCAGTAAATGAAGGAGCCCCGCTACAAAGAGAGACATAGCGGAATGGGAGCGGTACATTACAAACGATAAATGTTTAATCACCCAAAGAGGTGGGGAGGGAAAATTTGGCTAACAGGCACCAAACGTTAAAATGAACCTTGGCTCTTCATTATGTGTAAAATAATCCAAGAAGACAGCTCTAGGATGGTGGAGAAAACATTTATTAGTGATGAAGGTTCCCCTAAATGGCTTGATGTCCATTCTGTGTGCAGAGTGGAGGCTTCCAGGCAGGTTTCTCTGCTCATTCGTATTCCTGGCGTTTGCTACATGCCTCCTGCCGGGTGATGATGGTTAGCATCATCGTGCTGAATAATAAAGATGTCCAGGCCTGTAAAACCCAAGTTCGTCTTCCATCCAGAGGCCCCGGGACTAATATTGTCTCCACAGATAGGGTTTAGGCAGCACATTGTGCATCCCAACCTTATTCCCAGACACCTCACAGAGTTAGATAATAGAGCTCTCCAGTCAATTGTTCTCTCTTCTGCTAGTATTTATTATTTAAGAAAAATAGACAAGGGAGAAGAGAGAGATTTTTTTCCACCGGGGTTTGAAGAAAGATGAAGACGGAACAAAGAAAAGAGGTAAAGGAAGGCTGAGAAAGATGTACCCAACATCACCTACAGGACAGCATTTAATGAGACCTGGTGAGGTCATGGACTAGAAGCAAATAACCAGGCGGGAAGGAAGGGAAAGGGAGAGCTTTTGGGGGTAGGTTGGGGAAAGCAAATGGAAATCCCACACTTTGTGTCTATACAGGGAGGGAAACCCCTCTGCTGGATCACCCACAGCTCCTGGGGACTTGCCCTGGGAACAGCCCCTGCTGCTGCCTGGCATGGGCTTCCATAGGAGACAGCTGCCTCTGCAGCTGACTGTGCAGGGAGTTGGTCAGCAAAATGGATTTCTGGTAAAATATGCACTTTCTGCAAAATCAGACCTTTGGCTGAAAAGCAGTGGTCCTTCTTGGAGGTCTTCCATTGCAATACTTGATTTGGGGCCGGTTTAACTGCTAACTGTGAGCACTGTGTGTCTCTGATGGCTGCCATAGTTAGAAGCTGTTGTGCCTGCACCCCTGCGCTGGTTGCACTGAGGCCAGCACTGCCATCTGGAAATGGTCAAATCGAGCCCCTTATCTGAACGTTTTTAAGGAAACTCTTTTGTTCTATGGCAGAGCAAATTCTGGGTTAAAGTGACAGTGTTTTCAAGGCAGGGCAGATCTTAGGGTTTGGGGAAAGATGGATAAACCTGCTTTCATTCAGCTGTAGTCCAAAGTCATTTGCATCCATCTCAGACTGCTTAGCTTCCAGGGTCTATTGAGATGGCAACCCTATCTCATACTGCTGTGGGCCACCGAGCAAAATTCTCTGCTGAGTTTAAGTAAATGCATAAATGATATTCCTGGTGGACAACTTCTTAAGCCCAGCTGGTTACCTGTGCATTAAAGCAGCCTTCTGAAATATCAGCATGGGTGGAGGAAATGTCAGCCCCAGCCTGTGACAGCGCGGTTGATCCCTCAAAGAGCCAAGGAGAGCAATTAGAGGGGAAAAGTTGGAGGGAGGTGAAGAGGAGAGAGATTTTAGGGGATGGAGGGAACTGAGAGCTCTAATCAGGTAGAACAGTCGTAATAAGGAAAGTGTGTTTCTGTGGGAGAGCGTATTTACTGGAGGTTTTCTCTCGAAATAATCAGCCTGAATCACAGCTTTATTGTGTGATAGGTGTGGTGATGTTAGACTGGGAAAACAGAATGCTGATGTGGAAGCAGGACTCCCATTTCCCTCCAGTAAATAGTGCTGAGGATCAAAGAGTGCTTTTCCAGAGCTGATACAATGGAGGGAGCCCGCCCTGCATGGGGAGGTGATGCTGCTGGTGTCCCTCCATGCCGACAAGCTGAACCGTGCCTTGTCCCTGCACTGTCATCCTCACTCAGATCTTTGCTGCTGTGTGAAAGAGGGTTTTACCACTTTCTTTCATTATTTTTCCAGGAAGCTCACATAACCCTTTGTGTCCCAGGCAGGAATAGCCACTTTTATAGAGAATGGAGTCTGGTGGTGGATCCGTAAAAGGATTTGCTTGTTAAAAAGACTTCCAGGGTGCTTGCTATGACTGTTGGTATTTTGTAGGTTGTATTTTTAAAAGCACTCTTCCCTTTCTGTCCCTCTTTTTCCCTGTGAAGGGCCTCATGCCAAAACCGTGGGTCTCTGGGCAGTGCTCAGCCCACCAGCAGCTTCCAGGCAGACAGTGCTGCTGAGCAGTGACAGATGGACAGGAAAACGTGCTGCAGACACAGGACTTCATGCTGACAGCCCGTTCTAATTCCCTGGTAGGTACATAGAATCTCACCTTTCCATCTGTAGGTGTCTACCTGCACACAGGAATTGCCATGGCTGTGCTGTAAGCAAACACCTTTGCTCACCTGATGTTGTTTTGTTCACCTTACAGTTGGTTCTGCTTCTCCTGTTGGGTGCCCAGAGCTGAACCCTCTGGCTGTCTGCTTTTGCAAGGGGGACTGTGCCCAGATATAGCAGTATCTGGCAAGACCCAGTGCCCTACAGCCTAATTTTAGCTCCCTGCTGCAGGCTGGCTTCCTGTAGTGGGCCAGGAGGAGGTTAATGATATCTGGGCAGCTCTCCAAATCCAATGTAATGTTTATTTAGGATAACAGCATTGCAGAGCAGACCAAGCATGACCCCTTTCCATGCACGTCTTACCTGGCATGGCCCTGTTTCCACACATGGAGCATCTCAGATTTGTCAGCTCTTGGAGGATGGATGAAGAGAGTCCTTTCCTAGATCAAAATAGGTCCTGTACAACCCTGCCCACCTATTCACCTCCTAAACCAAACAGATGCTGTATTTCTAGACAAAAACACTGTAATAGGTTGCAGATCTATGATGGTAATGGAAATAGACACTCAAACAACCTCCTGCTAAAACTTTACAGGATGCTCCTCACCTGATCCCTTTGGCCAGGAATTGCTAACAGACTGCAAATAACATCCTGGACACCATTGCTCTAGAACAGCCCAAGTCTCTGAGGCACCACTTCCAGGTGCTTGTTTTGCACATGTCATAGATAAGATTATATGTTAGAATTAGCATTTAGGGGAGACAGGAATGGTTTAGAGGCCACATGGGTAGTTTGGTCTGACGTGGCTAAAAACATTTAATTTCATATATAATGCTGCCAAGGGCAAAGGGCAAACCCTACTGACCAAAGAGCATTTCATAAGTGCACAGCATGCATTCATCTTGCATTCAAAGCACAGATTCCCTTGCCACAATCACCTCAGTTTGCAGGAAGTCAGGACGTTCAGCTTCACTGCACCCCACTGTGCTTGGAGGAGCTGGAGCCAAGGGGTATGGGTCTTTGTTTGGTGGTCCTGTATGTCCTGCATGTGTGCACATCTGGTTTTGGGATCTGAGAGGTTGCAGATTGACATCTGAGGTGAGGAGGGATGAGAAGAAGCAGTAGCCATACCCTCTGACAGGGCAGAGCTCATGGGATGTGTTCATTCACCTCAGCTGTTGTTTATTCATCTCAGCTGCTGTCGAAGAGCTTAATTTCAGCCATGAACTTACAGCATCTTCCTCCCTACAGTGCAGCCCCTGCAGTTACTGTGCTATTCTTTTGACACAACATGAGCAGACATGTGATGGACTCAGTCCCAGGGATGTCCTATGCCAGTACACAGTGAGTATGCTGCTTGCTTGGGGCTGTATGTGGGCTCCCCTCAGGGCTTTGTGAAGGGTTTGGGTATGAGCCATAAGACCTGGGGGCTTGGAATGTGTTGGGGAAATGCTTCTCTTCTAGCAATGAGCACTTGCAGATGCATGTGGCCAACAGTGGAGCCTTTGTCACTTCCCAGTGGGTGCAGAAAAGACTTGTACGTGTTGCCAAAAGTGTTTTCTGAGAGCTGAGTTGCTGGTTCTGGTTTCACTGATAGCTGAAAAACAGTTGCACATGCAAGCTTCCCAGGCATGCTCCAAGAGACACCATGAGAACACCAATTTAACAGGGTCCCTGGAGAGTGCTAGGATGCACTTCCTCCTACCTGAAACATTCAGGAAGATGGCTGGGCAGCCAGATGGCTGTATTCGTGTGTAGCTGTTATTAATGTTTCATCTGATTGTGTTTACAACATGCTTAATGCGACTACTAGGTTCCCCCAGCAGGTTTATGTTAAGTCTAAACAGAACAACGATACAGCTCTACTGGGGGCTTGACTGGTGAAGCTGGGTGTCAGCTGATCTGCTGCTGAAGTGTGCTCGTGCACTCATGGAAATAAGCAGAGCCCATCAGTATCTATAGAGGATGCTCAGCCACAGGCAAGAGTGACCACTGGGTCTCCTATGTGGTCTCAGCAAATGGCTTTACCCAAAAATGCACGGGTAGAGGTAGAGAATCTTGGGGAAATAAGTTGTGTATATAAGCTGTGCTCCAAAGAGATGCTGCTGTGGTGTGACCATAGTTAATGCCTATTTGCTGGTGGAGGGGCAGCAGAAGAAACTGTTGGTGCATTGGCATGGGCTTGTGGTGTGTGAAAGCCCTTCCTCAGCATCATACCTGCTCCTCAGCAGTGTCTGTGGTCTCTGGGCCAATGCATGTTCCCTGCTCATTTGTAGACCAACAAAAGATGTGGTGAGTGGAAAGGGAAACTTCAGAGAGTGCAAGACAATAGAAGCAGGGAGCTCTGCCAAGAGTTGGATTGCCTGTCCTTTTCATAAACATTTCATGTGGAGGTTACCCAAGTTGAAAAAACAAGAGAACCCAGAACACCCACCCTCTCTGGAGGAATTGAGTTTATCGTTAATAATCTACTGCTAAAAGGGTAACATCTGTTTTGGACAAACTGTAATGAGATTTAAACCCCAGGTGGAGGGAGGACTTCACAGTAATAAATGACTTTCTGTATGTCTAAATAGTTTTAATTTTTTTTTTTTTTTCTGGCAGAAATGGCTGCTTTTCACCTCAGGCTTCTTTTTGCCAGCTCTTTTTGTTTAATGATTGCTATTAATTTCCAGGGTGGCAGATGGATTCTAGCCTGGTGTAGTCTGAAATGAGGAAAAACAGCCCAGGAAGGTGTGAGCTTGCCATGAATGTGAGCATGGGTCACATGTGTCTTCATGGGATGCCACGTGTGTTTGCTTTCCAGGGGAACTATTGCTTCTTGGTAGCTGCTCCCCACCCCAGGGATCCTCAAGCATCTCTCCCTTTCCTTTGGCTAGGAAAGGGAATTGGCTCTCTTGGTCACTGCTGGTAGCACTGCTGGTTTAGACCTTGATACATCAAAGCTGCTGATTTCAGCAAGGCTCTGGGAGGAATTCAAACCAGCACTTAAGCACTTAAGCTGAAGTGAGCTGGAGAGCAACACATGGTCCCCAAAACATGGAAAGGAGCTCACTGCCTTGGTTGGGTGATGCCCATGGCTGCTGCTGCCAGAGGATGGGGATTCCTCCTTGGGCATGAAATGCAGGCTACAGTGCTTTTCCCATGTAGCTCTGATTTGTATGGGGTGGGATGCTCCAAATGGGAAATCCAAATGGGAAGGTGGAGACAAGTGGCTGCTGTTAAATCCAGTGGCCCACGTTGTAAGTTCCTAGTGCCCAAAAAGGCATTTTCTCACTCCTTCTGACACCATCTCCTCAAGGAGAAACCTGATGAAGAGCTAACTCCAATTAGTGCCTCAGTGTGCTGATGTGTCCTGCCTGCCCTTTCCCATGTTGAAGGAGTATCCCCAGGCCCAGCCCAGGATCTGGGCATGCAGGGTGGCTGGAGGAGGACCACAAAAAGAAGCTGGTGATGGACCACCACGTGAGGGTGCTCCAGGATGGGAGGATGGGGGAAGGAGGGAGGGTTTCTACTGCCAGGGGTGAGCCCCAGCGATGGAGAGAAGGGCGTAGAGATAGAAAGTGTAGCATCTCAGGTGATGCAGATAATCTCCCTTAATCTCCTGCTCAAAATAACCCAAAGTCAAGTAAAGGAGGGATTATATGGCCTAAGCCACTGTTATCGCCAGGGTGTAACAGACTTAGGTTGCATCTGAAGGGCTGCCAAGGAGGAAGAGGAGTGCAGCAAATGTCGACCTGTTGGCAGTGTCTCAGTGTGAGGGTGTCTGGGGAGGCTGGGGACCCTCCTGGGATGGTCCAGAGAGAGAAGGGCTGCAGGAGAAGTGGCTGCCTGCAGCCTCAGAGGTCTGTGTGGGGACCTGGTCCAAGGTATGTCCAACTGCATGGAGATGGTGCAATCTTTTACACCTTGGTGTTGATAATAGGTTTATTCTTAGCATGGGATTCTTACCTGTTAATTATTCTAATGGGAGAAGCCATCTGACTCAGCTCTACAGCTGAGAAAACGAGCCCCTGAAGAGGTAAACAGCCCATCAGGTGCTGGAGCAAGGTAGGCAGTTCTTGCTCTCCCGTCACCCAACTCCACCATTTCTATTTTTAATGAAATTTGCCTGATGCACCCTTGGCTGCCCGCTCATGATAGCCATGAGGCACTTGTGAGCTGAAGGCATCTCCTACCCTTGGCTAGATAGTCGCACCCAGGCTCAGCTGCTGTGCTGCTGCCAGCAAGGGCTGAGTTGCAGAGCCCTGTCCTGCAGAGCTCCTGGTGATGCCTATGAGATAGCAGCGCAGAAACAGTGTGAAGTGGCGTTGCCCTGGGGAGGGAATGGAGTGTGTTCATTTTAATGAGCTTGTCCATGCCTAAAGGAGAGAGAAAGCGAGAGAGGCCAACCTGGTTTAATAAACTCCAGCATGCAGATTTAATCAGATGGATCATTGTTCCTTGCACAGGGATGAATATATTAAAAAAAAAAAAATTCAAACTTTTCCCCTTTGTTTTTCATTTGTGTTATATGCTACGGTGTGATAAAACATCCTGGGGCCAGCTCGCAAGCCAATAAAAGAGATGGTGGGGGAGAGGAAGGTGCTGATCCATGTGAGCAGGAGGGGTGAGGCTGGGCTTGCAGTGAGGGCTGCAGCACGCTCAGCTCTGGGGAAGATGTGTATCTGGGCTATGAGCTGCCATCAGCACCTTTTCAGACCTCCAGCCCTAAATTCCAGCAGTGCAGTAAGGTTGCAGCTTGAGGTATGAATGTGAGGAGCTACCTGGTGCTAAAAGCCATCCCTGGGCAAACCTGGCATCTGCATCCTGCTGTGCCACCCCATGCTCCTGCCTTTGCAGAATGGTGGCCCTGCGTGCAGCACAAAGCAGCGTGCAGCTGTAGGGCTGTGTCAGTGCGTGCGCTGGGAGGACACGGCCCTGGCTTGTGGGTGTCTTGCCCTGTGGGTGTGCATAAAGCCAGCTTAGGCCAAAGAGTATTTGGTGCTAAATCCTGGTTGGAATACCTGGAGCTGTGGTATCACCTTCCTTTGGGAGGATTGCCCTAAAGTGCAGCATTGACCTGTCCATGAAAATGTCACCTACGGCCATTTGGTGTTAAAAATTCAAAACTTTGCCTTCTGGCACACCCCCACGTTACTGCTTCATTACTTTATCCATTACTGGGTATGAGCGCTAATAAATAATCCCACTTCCATTCCTACTGTTGTTTAAGTGGTCATTAATTGTGGTTTATATGCTGTCTTTGTATATTTGTGTACGACAGCTTCTTCATGATTCCTTGATTAACCGTGATTGATTGCGTATTTTAAAATCAATTAAAAGTTTTGCTCTGAAAGGTAAAGTCTTTAGCAGTAATGCTCCAAGGCGTTGCCATTTATGATGGAGTTATTGTAGTGCTGGCTGCCATGAGAGCGGCACACTGATCTTTTTTGTCTGGATCCATGCAGACACGTGTATAAGTGAGTGTGCAGACACTTGTGTCTTTTTTGACTGAGTTATAGCTGGAAAAGAGGGGGTGGTTTCTCTTAAGGTTCTGGACCACATAGGGTGGGTTGGTTTCATGGCCAGCCAGGTATCACCAACTCTCTTCCCTAAGAACTGAGTGCAAGTCTTGAGTCCCAAAATGCAAAATTTCCATGCTGGCTTGAGAGCAGTGTGCCTTGGCCAGCTCCTCTTTACCAAGTAGACAGCTGCCAGTGTGCTGAGCTGAATGGGGCCACCAAGAGGGGTGTGCATCCTCCTGAACTGCTGTTTCAGGGAGCGAGTCTGTGCCTTGTGGGGGTGCATAACTGTGCAGGTATGTGATTCTGGTAATGATACAATGCTGGTGTGATGGAGGAGGAGATGTGGCTGCTGCCTGGGCATCAGGGTGTGTGCTGGAGCACAGATCTCTCCACTTCATAACACCAAAGCTGGTGTTGTATCAGTCCTCAGCTCATCGTACTGCTGCTGAGCTGGGAGGATGTTTCCAGCACCAGAGCAGGAGGAGATGAGGTTAACACTGCTTTCTATATGCTCTGTGCCTTCTCCTGTAAATCTCAATCCAGCATGTGTGCCAGGGTGCCTCTGCCCAATGCACTGAGTCGGGGGTGAGGACACCATGTGGATCTTGCACGGCTTCTTGGATGTGGGAGGAACTAAAATCCCTGGGGGCCAGGTGGAAGTAGGGCCCTGTTTACTGATTCCCACTCTGCCCCCTTTTTCCCCCAGCATCCCAGCTGCACCCAGGGGTGCCTGTGAGGGGAAATCACCAATCTAATTAACTGATGGGGGAAGTGCTCTGTGCAAGCCCTGGAATGGGATGGTTCTGTCGTATTAACTCTCCCCCTCGCGTTGATGTTAATGAAATAAAGAAATATGATGGTTCCAGACTTTTAAACTTCTTATAGCTCCATTTGCATAATGGCCACTGCTACCCTGAACAGGAACTGATCTGTCGAAAAACATTGTTCCAGCCCTCTATCATTCAGCTCAATGGAAGGCGCAGATTGGCCCACAGGGGCTGTTTTTTGCTGATGGAATGGAGTATGCCTCGCGCCGAACATAAAAAGCTAAAATTAGGACTCAATTCAATATTGTAAAAAAGAAATTGGTTAAAAGTTATAGATCAATAACTGTTAACGTGACTCTATTTTTCAGGCGGGTCATGTTTACTGCTGCTGGTGATGTGGGGACGGCTCCTTCCCACCTGCTGAAGACACTCTGCTGTCCCTTCGGAGCAGTCTGTTGTGGCTCAGCTGTCCTGAGCAACCCTGTGAGCTTTGCTGCAAGCTCTGGAGTTTGTCATGAATGTTTGCTGCACCGTGCAAGGCCAGGTATGACTGCACCCAGCTCCAGGACTCTTCTCCACCTTCCTGAGTGACACTTGGCATCAAGCAGTGAGTGATGCTGGTAGCGTCCCTCTGAGATGGACGATGCCTCACATCTCAGTGCCCCATGTCCCCAGTCCTCAATGCCCTAGAGCAACTCTTCTTGATGCCCTTGATCACTGCCCTCTGCTCCTCCGTGCCCTCTATCTCTGCTTCTTACTTATCTACATCTCAGCTCCTTGATTACCAACATCTCTGCTTCTCCTCATCCTGGCTCTCTGTTCCTTGATGATCTAGATCTCTGCTCTTTGATGCCCTAGATTTACACTTATCAGTGCCCTAGATCTCTGCCTGCTGCAAAGACTGTTTCTCTCCCAGCAGACGATTCCTGCACTACTTCCACCAATTTGAGAGTAACTGGATGCTTTCACCCCTGGGTTTTGGTTATGGTGTGTGTTTGTCCTGTCCATTACAGCAAGGTAAGCATCTCTTCCTTCACTATGTGTATTTAAACCATGGTGCCCACGAGCAGAAACTGTATCTCTCAGCAGCATTGTGAGTTTAGGGAGCACAGCCCCAGATAATGGGGATGGGGAGCAGGGAGCTGGCTGAGCATTGTGAGCCAGCATGATGATGGTCCTTCTGCTCCCAGTCACCTTGGGCTTGCTTCTGACAGCTCATTACAGCTAGTCTTTGATCACTTGCCTCTCCCCCTCTCTGTACTTAGAAATGCTGGAGAGCTTTCGTGACTGATATTATCAAAAAGGACGTTTTTATTTCCAAAATATACAGTGTAATTAGAACTGCAAAGGAAGGGAGCAGCCAGTCCATAAAAACACCCACTCTGCGACAATCTCTGTCCTGACCCTGTGGGAACTGGGAACAAAAGACTGCTGGGTTTTGGGGCGAATAATTTCCCAAATAATGGGAGCACCCCTCAGGTCCCAGCCAAAAAGAGCTCTTCCACTTCTTGGGAAGGCTTTGCTGTGGAAATGCTCTCACTCACAGCTGAACATGTTTTGCTGAATTGGGACCCACTGGAAGCATGAATTGAATAGCTTCAACCAGCAACACAGAGACCCTCGCCTAACCCATCACCATGCAAATATGCCTTCTGATGGAGTGATCGAAGGCTCCACTGCCACACACAGCACTGCAAGCATATTTTCAGCTTTGCAGGGCCCTCTCCCGCAGGCAACTCCATCCTTTAGGTGGGAGGGCAGCGCTTCCCTCTGCCAGCTGCTGGCCATGGGCAGAGGCTGCCTCACAGAGACCCAGCTCCCGTCCTTCCCATCTCTACAGCTGGCCCAGGAAACAATGGACTTCTTAAAAATTGATGGGGTTCATTTCCTGCCTCTGTGCACTCAAAGCATCAGCTCTGCCACTACCAGCAACGTCCACATTAATTACTATCATAATGCAAGTACCTCTGTGTGCGCTGCCTTGCCTGGAGAGTCTGTCCCAGTAGTGACCTGCATTTTCCTCCCCTCAAGACCTTGCCCGTGGCTGAGCTTTCCAGAGCTGCTGCATGCACAGCAACAAAGCTGGGATAGCCCCAGAGGAGGAGAGGCAGCAGGAAGGGTCTGCACACAGATCCTCTCTGATCCAGGCTCAGAGGTTCACCTGGTGCATGGGTTTCTCCTTCCCTGAGTCCTATTGAGCAGCAACACCCCAAGTCTGTGTGGAGTCCCCACACTGAGTGCCCTCAGCTCTGAGCCCCAGGGTGCAACCTTCAGCATTCCACCACTGAGTCCCTCCAAACAGAAATTTTCAGTTTCCAAGGAAAAAATAATCTGGTCATGGAAAAACACCCAGCTCGCTCAAACAGAGCTGCTGGGGTTGGGGCCAGGCCATGCTGGTCTGCTTTTCAGTGCCCTGTGGACTGCAGAAAATTATGAATTCTTTTCTTTTTTTTTTTTTTTTTTTTCTTTTTTTTTTGCATAAAATTATGATTATCCAGTATTTAAGACAAGCATGTCTTAGACCGTGAAATGACTTGCATGAGAGAGATAAAACACTGGAAATTAAGAGGAAGCAGAAGCCAGCAATGCAAAGATCATTGGAAAAGCCTGTTCAGCATGGACCGAAGAGCTCCAATCCAGGTATCATATACAGCCTCATCAAAGCCAGACTAAAGGTGTCCTCTGAATAAATGAACCTACCAAAATGAGGATCTGGAGGAGACTGACGAGCACTGGAGAACGCATCCAGAATACTTCATCAGTGCCTTTTCCTATCCACCTAAAAATCCCAAAGGGCCTGCAGGCAATTGGTAACAGTTCCTCAGAAAAAGGTCTAGGAATTATAGCAGGTCATGAGCTGAACATGAGCTATCAGTGTTGCATCAAGAGGCACGGTGCCCTGGGAGATGTGTGCAGCAGCATGACCTACCCAGGCTCACCACATCATCTCTCTTGCTTGTTCAGTGCTGGTGAGGTCTACAGCAGAGCAAATTCCGGCATCGGCAGCTCGTGTCAAAAGGGAGGCAGCAACACTGCAGTCAGCATGCAGGGAACAGTGAGAATGATCAGAGGTCTACAAGACATGACCTACAAAGGAAGATTGAAAGAACTGGGTTATTTAGCCTAAAAGAGATGATGGGAGAAGAGATGTGATAACAGTCTTCAAGTGCTTAAAAGGCTGCTGCCAAGGGGAAGAGAATAATCTGTTCTTTGTGTCCATGGTGGACAGGACAAGAAATAATCGGCTTAAATTACAGCAAGAGAAATCAGGTTAGACACCGGGACAGAACCGGCGAGGCTGAAGCTGGGCGGAGAAATGACGGCAATGCTCTTGGAGGCAGAGGGGTTCTGTTGGGTTGGGATGGCCGTGGGGAGAGGCTGATGTACTTCCACATCCCTGCAAGGCCTTTGACACAAGGTTTGGTGTTGCTGCATTTCCCAGAGCAAGGTCATGCTGCAGCCATCGCTGCTGGGAGGATGAATCCCAGCCACTTTGTCTTGTGAGGACTTCCAAGACGGCAAAACATGGTTTTGTGGCAAACTGAGAGCACAAGTCAGCATTTTCAGTTATTCTTCTTGCAGTGAAAAAATACTTGAAAATGGATTATTTTTTTTTCTCCCATCTATTTCAGCCATCCTATTGTAACACAAACAGAGCAGAGTGCCCCAGCCGTGCCCCATGGGCAGGCCAAAATGACACAGCCCAAACAAAACCTGTTTGATAACGTCCTTGCTGAAAACATCAGTGAACTCGCTCTCTTCCCTTCCAAACAATTAGATGGAGCTGACACACCATTTTCTGAGTGAGGAGATTGCCCTGAGATGTTTTCCAACTGGCTCAGAGGGTTCTTGCTACCTGAGAGGCAAAAAGAAAAGGAAAGGCACGCACTTGTCCAAGAGCAGCTCTGCTTCTGCTGGCAGCGCAGTGCTGCTGAGTGCGCACCGCTGGCCAAAGATTGAGAGATGCTGTGTTCTCAGGAGAGATGGTTATTACCACTGGATTCCAAGAGCAATCCTTTATTTTAAAACCTGCCTCCTAATTCATTTTATATTTACCCATAAAATGTTGGCCAAGGTTTCTGAGAGCTGCAGTCTTTTGGAAAGGCCAAGTCTCCAGCGGAGCTGACTCAGCAGTAGCTCTCCTGATTGAAGCGGTGTGAATTCGTACCACCCCTGGGCAGGGATGGAAACAGAGGAGCTGGGCTCTCCCTGCCTTTGTTTTCTGCAAGGAGCAAAGCTTGCTGCTGGCCTGCAGGGCTGGGAAGGGGACTGACAAAGCGCATAATTCTCCCTGCTTGTTTCCCCCCTGCTGTGCATCCCAACTTTTGTTCACTTGCAGTTTAATACATCTGAGATGAGAATCAGAAGAAAGAAGAAAGAAAAAAAAAAAAAAAGATGAAATCCCTGTAAGTAATTAGTTTTCAGCCTTTCTGCCCAGCATCAAGGAGGGATGCAGAAAATACCCAGCTTATTAAAACATCCCCCTGCTTCCACCCAGGATGCTCTGAGACAGGCATGCCTTGCCTAGGGTCAGGCATCCCAGCTCCTTCCCACACCATAGTGGGAGCACACTGGGACTTGGACTAATTCTAACATAACCCCTTGTGCTAAGCCAGTTTCTGCCTCCCTTTTTCCATGTTGCTGATTGCCCTAGTTGTTCCCCTAGCTCCTGGGCACGATGGTAATGCCTCCCCTGTCTGTATTTGTGAGGCAGTGGTGTCCTAAGTAGCTCATGCTTGGGAGATAAGGTCTCCTCTGCAGAGCCTGGCCTTCATCTTCATGCTATTGTGGGCCCTCCTCATCCAAGGCCTGGGAAGAGAAGAATTTGATACTGCGGACTGCAGTGGAGTCCTATCCCAGGTGGACCAAACTTCCTTTGCTTCAAGGAAAAATTCATGTTAGGATGAAGGGAAAATCAGGAGGAAGCTGAAAGTTGCCCATCTCATACCTTGGAGAGGAGCTGCTTCTGATATCTCTTACAAGGCATTTGAGTGGTGGCCAGGCTATGAAATAAAGCCAAGGCTGTTTGAATTGACAGCTCATTCCACATACAAGCAAAGCCCAGAAGGCCATCCAGAGCTGCATAACAACAACGGGCTAATAGATAAGTACATAACGAAAACCTAATGAGAACACCAGTATCTCCTAAGTTCAGCTTCATTCAGAAAGCCAAGGATATGGAATTGAGTCAGTTTGTGTCCGATGGCCATAATGAATATGCCACAGGAGATGCCCAGAAGGAATAATACCATAAATTGGCAAGGTTGCAGCTGCATTCATCTGCTCAAACAAGAGCTGGTCATCCATAATCTGGCAGTATCAAAGACCAGTACATCAGTTCCAATGTCATTATTTCTAGCTTCAAGTATGGGTGGGAACACTCAAAATCTGACAGCAGCCCCAACAGATGTGTCACTACTGTGAGAGCCAGTGCTGGAAGGCCATCCAGAGGTATGAAGCAGAGTTAATTTATTCTAGCTAATGCTGAGGATCATTAGGGGATTCAAACAACCACCACCACCACCTAGTCCTCTGGAGCAGGCTGTGAGTATGTGTCTGGGACATGCATCAGTAATGATGTATTGCAGCTGGAGTCTGCAGCCCCAAACCTGTGTTTTGAGCACCCTACAGCTGGCTCAGGAGCAGCTTGCATTGATTTGGGAGCTTTGGTCTCCTTTCCTAAGGGGCTAAAAGACGGGTGCAGGGCAGTTGTCATCCCCAGTGTTGGCTGTAGGGGACAGGGGCAGGAAGTCCCCAGCGAGGACCTTCTCCCCAGGTTGTTTGCAGGGGAATCGGGGTGATTGGAAGCCAGCGGGCCTCCGAGCGTTGCACAGCGTTATTCATGTAGCAGCTAATGGAGCTTACTCAATCCATAAAGATTTTTAGTCAGGAGTTTGATGTTAATTATGGGCCAAAACATTTAATAGCCCGTTACACTTCCACGAGGCATTTTTTTTAATTAAAAAATGATATATTGCAGAAAAGGGGAAAAAAACAGAGGGGAATAATTGAAGATTGTTTTATTCTGGAATGACCCGAGGCAGGGAAGGCAATGAGGAGCCAGCGTGTCGGGAAACGTGATGGTAATGGCATAGACCTGGCAGCATGGGAAGAGTGGAGCAAGGTGGGAGCAGCTGAACATCTGGGAGAAGGAGCCCTAAGGCGGGTGGGTGGGTGAACAATGAGGGGGTGCTCTGTGCTGGACTGCCCGACCTCTTGAGTCATTTGTGCTGTAGAAGACCTTGGTTCAAACCCTTCTTTCTGCATCTCTATCAGCCGTCTCTCAGGAAAAACAGCTAAACCCCCAGGGTGGAAATTAGCCTGGAATATGTCAGGGTTGAAGAAAATCTGACATGTCTCGCTCTGACGCTACTCCATTTTTCATTCAACGTTTAAAGATGAGTTGGAGCAGGGGCTGGCTTCGGATGCATTCAGATGGGCTGTGCAAAATGGAAGGGCTTCAGTAGAGCAAGCCAGCATATCCCATGCCCACCCTGCCCCAAACGGTGCCCACTGGCTGATGAAGGTGAGCCTCCATCTGGGAAGCTGCTATTCAGCTAACTCAAGAGGGGAGGAGGAGAAATGGGATGGAAGCGTGTCCTGGGGGTGCCCAGGAAAAGTTAGGATGGCTGCTGATCATTGGAAGGAGCTGGACTGTGATCCCCACACTTGCCCAAGTCCTTCCATGACTCCAGCTCTGCACATCACTGTTGCTCGCTTCCCCCAACACTACAATGGAAATAATATTATTCCCTCCTTAGAAGGCTTTGAGATGCTCAGTTACTATGGTGATGGGGCCATAAAAGTACCAAAGATAGCAAGAACAATAATAATATCAGACATGGTAAGAGCCAAATAATTGCATTTAGGGCACGCACACAACACAGAAGAGAGCCACCTCCACGCACCACAGCGCTCGGGCTCCGAAGACAACTTGTTACACCAGCAGGCTCACGGCCTATTTAAGAGCTAATTTCCAATCCCTGCACTGTCCACCGAAGGGCGAGGAGCAGTGCAGCTCTGTGCCCACTCCCTCTGCAGCAGCCTCAAAGCAGGGAGCAGTGGGATGAGGGCCCTTTGCCAGGACCAACACCAGCACACCAGCACTGTCACACCACGTCCCCGCAGATGCGCGGCCGCCACTTTGTTTGACCAGCTGAGCGTTTCCCCCCAGCACGATGCTGCTGGCCCTTTGGCTCCTTTTTCTCTGCTGCTTTGTCTCTTGCCTCGTTTTTTGTTTTTTTTTCTTTTCTTATTTTTTCTTTTGAAATATATGGGGTTTTAATTGGGGAAAAAAAAAACCACGTAGCATCTGTGGCTGCTTAATAACACCTGTGCGTGGCGAGGCAGCTTTTCAGCAGCTATTGTCACAGCGTTCTCATCTGTGCAGTGCTGAGCTGCTGCTGCGTGGCCCCCATGGAACTGCTCAAGCAGGAGCCATCCTCGGAGGGCACGTAATTAACAGGTGGTGCAAAACAATATGCTGTTAAAAAAATATGAGCGACAAGCCTTCTTACTAGGGAGATGCTTAGGGATGCGCAGGCAATGCCTTTGCCGTGCCTCTATGGGAGTGGTGCCTGCAGGCATCTGAGGGGCAGTGCATTTTGGCTTCTGTGTCAGCTCTGCATCTCAATCCTTGGTGGGCACCCACCTCCTTTAGACCTGGGAAGCTCAGGTGGGGCCCAAATCCATCTCCCCATTGGGTGAAGGAATGAAGTCCTGTTCCCAGATGGTGGAGCGGTTTGGCCAAGGAATAGAAGAGCAGCACAGCAAACATCTCCGTGTGATGCAGCTCTGCAGAGCCCCGTGTAACCCGGGGTATTTATGCAGAACCCTCCGGGCACTTCCCTTCAGCTCAGCCAATTTGTTCAGGCTTCGAATTTCCCTCATCTCTCAGAGTACATTAAAAAAATCAATGTAATTACACAGCAAACATTAATTATGATCAAAAATGCAGCTGAGAGGGATTGATCTGGAGGAGATCGCAAGGCTGTATCTAGCCACAGAACTGCCAAAAAAATCAGCTCAACGAGGCTGAGGCCACGGGGATGTGTGGCCTGTCTGAACAGCAAGGAGTCCTTGGAGACACCTGGATTGTGGTTTCTGCCTCTGATTTCTCTTATGGCAGGCACAGGGACGGGTGAGCTCCATGGGGACGGAGCAGCTTCCTGGTCACCACAGCCACATCAGTGAGGTGAGTGGTGCAGAGCCCTCTCAGATGTTACTATAAAGAATATGGACAACTCTGCCTGGCAATTTGCTCAACAGTAAAGCCATCTTCATCTCTAACTTCTTCCCTTAGACCCCAGTCAGCTCTTGGAGCCCTCCAGGGATGAGGGTCCCTGCACCCTGCGCTGTCTGTTGGCCATCCTGATTCTTAGGAAGCTTTCCCTGAGCATCTCACTCAACTTGGCTGCACTTCAAGCCCATTACAGCTTGTCCAACCAGCCACCAATTGATCACCATCATCTTTACAACTGCCCTTTCCATTCTGGATGAATGTTACACACTGTCTTGCTCTCAGTCTCTGTCCTGGAGCACAAACCAGTCCATCTTCCTGGAGCATGTTTTTCCAAACACTCTGAACTCTCTCAATTTGTCTGAATTTCTCTGAAAGTTGTGATGGCCAAACCTGGAGATATGTATCTCCTGCTGTTGCCTTACCAGCACTGAATAGAGCCAAATAAATTACCTCGCTGTCTTCCGTCTGAAACTATTAATACATCTCCAGGCAAGATGTGCCTTTTCTTTCCTTTCCTAAAGCATCAGGTTATTGTCTGCTGCTCAGTTTGAGGGCTACTCTGCTGCCTGAACCTTGGCTGCTCTCCTGCTGGCATACCAGTTCTTCCCCATCTTACATCTGCGATTTTGATATCACCTTCCTAAGTGAAGCACTTTGCGCTTGACTTTATTGAATTTCAGTGTATTGATTTCAAGCCATTTCTTCAATTTATCAAAATCATTTTGCTCTGAGGAATCTTGCAGCAGCTTGTCTTGCATCTGCTCTGTTGTCAAAAGGTCTTTAGTCCTCAAGGCTATCAAGCCAGGACTGCATAGTAGTCCTTAAAATAGCCAGAAAGTACCATTTGAGAGGCATGGGGACAACAGAAGATAGAGGTTTTAGGCTGGTTTGCACAGAAATGGCCACACAGGGTGCAGAAACAGCAGGAGGAGATGGGGTGAAGCACTGCGAGCGCTGTGGGAAAACTACTGGGTCCTGGGGTGAGAGCAGGGCTTCGAGATGCTGGGACCCTGCTGCTGGCCTGGGGACAGCCCTGGATGGATTGGGGATGGTGGAGGGTTGAGCCCTGGGGTTTAATGGTTCCTCTTTCTTTTCAGGCCTGTGTGTGATGAGCTGCCCCGTTGCCTCCTTGGGACTTGCGTGGGGAAACATCCTGCAGCACCAGATGTTAATGGCACTGCATGGGGACAGCAAAACCTGGACTAAGAGACTGGAGTCCATCAGCCAAGTGAGAGGTTTTTGTTATTGCTCCATTCTTTAAGGCAGAGGAAGGCACCTGGAAGCAGATGCTCGTCCTTTGGAGGAGGGAGCAGCTCTTGGCCCTTCTGCTTGGGCACACTGCAGGACCCCGAGGTTTTGGGGAGGCACCCACACCCAGCACCCACACTGCGTTCTTCCCTCTGCTTCTCCCACCTTCCCCTGCAGCCTCCTCCTGCCCCACACGGCAGGCTGCTGCTCAGACAACCATTACCCAGGTAGCAGGAGGAATTTCCTAGAAAACGGTACAGAAAAGCACCTCCTGCAGAGCTGCCTCCTAATAAGTCCCTGTTCTTCCACAGGCGGAAGGCGAAGCGGCCGAGCTTCAGCTGCACACACAGCAGGAGGGAGGGGGAGCGCGCCGGGAGCGAGATGCAAACAGACCCAGGGAGGGGGAAAGCAGAGGCGTCATGGAAGGGCTGGAAGAGAAAATGGTTTCCTTGGGAAGAGGCTGGCAAGTCTCAGCTGGAAAGGGACAGCAAGGGAGAGATGAGAGAGCTGCTCTGGGTTGGAGAGAGAAGAGGAGCACGGTTTGGGTAAAGCTGAGCTCACCCTGGCCCTTGACATGGTAATGATGCAGACACAGACGTGTGATAAGCCCTGCTCTGCACACACTTTAAAATCTAAGTAGCTTATGAATAAGTAATAATCCCTATTCCCAGTGCCATAATCTATATTTAATTAAGAAAATAACTAAATGGCGGGAGTAAAAGGGGCTGTGTGGGGAAATGGAGACAGAAGCACTGTGAGATAAGCTCTGGTGGGAACGGGGACAAAAGGCAAACTCAGCATGGTCGTGGTGGCACGGTGGGGCTGCTGGGCTAGGCACAGGGTGACCTGCAGGAGGAGGTCTGCCCCAGCGACTGCCAGGGTCAGCACTGAGCTGAATGCTGAGCAGCTGCACTGTTGGTCTGCTGTGTGACTTCGTGTTCCCTCCTGCTCGATTCTGGTGCTGATGGTGGGCTGCATGGAAAGTGATGCTCCAACGTGCACAAGCACTGTTTGACAGTACCCAAATCACAGCCTTTGATACTGTTACAACATGCTGCTTGGTGCCTGTGATAAAGCATTCTTGGCAGGATGCTCCAAATGTCTTGCACTGACACAGAAAAGCGAACCCTGCCAGAATAACCCGTGCTGAAATGGGAAGAGAGCATTCTAGGTGATGCCAAGGGCAGCTCTGATCAACCTCCACTTTGGACAGGAGCAGAGAGTGGTTCCAAAGGTACCTCCATCCAGGGACTCTACAGGACCCTTTCACCACCAACAAAAGCTCTTTGTAGCTAAAGCCCCACACCTTTCCCACCCAGCATGTTGCACCAAGGCTGCAAAGTGTGGCTGCAGCCCTGCTCACTTAGCTGTGCTTCTTATTTCCCTAGTGGGGATCTGCAGTCACCTCCGCTCCTTTGGTTGTCAGTAGTGAAACTGAGAGCACACCTTAAGGGCTCGGTCAAAGAAAAGAAAAAAAAAAAACAATCTCAATCCATTATAAATAGGCCATCTGGTTTTTAAATTGAAAAACAACAATAATCACTGCTGAGAGCCCGCTGAACAAAAGCAGCCTTATTGCCACTGGGACAGATTCATTCTCACCAACAGAAACAGACATATTTTTCAAGCTGCTCTTGAGCTCCTGAAGTTGCTAACGTCCCACTGCATCATGGTGACTGCAATCAGGTTTTAGCTGCACTCTTCTCCTCTAAGTGCTGTTTTGGGGCAGTGTGGTGGGGAGTCTGGAGAAAGCAGTTCTTAGCTGGGTGGTGGGGAGCAGGGGTGGGATGGGCTGTGTTGCAGTGGGCGTAGCAGCCAGGCAAGCTTAGCTTTCTGCTACTGTTAAGAGAAGGAGAAAAGCATAAGTTCCAGAGAGGAGGTCTGTCGAGGGTGCTGAGCAGGAGCAGCCATGGAAGGAGCCACATACCACAATCTGGAAATCTTTGCTTCCTCTCTTCCCAGCGCAGTGAGCTCACTGGGAGCTCAGTGCTGGCCCAAACCCAGCCTGCCCAGAACAGTGCCCAGAGCCAGGCATGCAGCCAAGCAGGTGGGGAACAGGAGTGCTGGAGCTCGCATTGTTTTATCTGGGTTTGGGTCCTTGAATCAGAAGGCTGGACACCATTAGCCGTTGCTGATCCAGAGCCAGGATCTGAACGCATGCGGCAGTGGCTCACATCGCTGGATCCCTGCCTGGGTGCTGCTTCAGGCACGGCTGCCAGCAGGCTCGTGCCATTGGCCTGCCCATATCACAGTCAGAACAAGTGATGTGGGACTGATGGGATGCCACCGTCCTGGGCACACCATGGCACAGGAGGTGCGGCTGAGAGGGTCTTCTCTGTGCCAGAGTCTGAATGTTGCCTTTGGGCAGGAAGTGAGGACCTGTAACATTGACCTAGCAAATGATGCTGGCTGCTCCGTGCTGGAAGATGTCGTTCTGAGCACAGCACATGGGTTCAAATGTTATGGAGAGATAAGAAAGGTGCAGACTTGGAGGTGGAAGAGAAAGGAAAGGAACAAAAACAATTTAATAATGAATATATTATGTAGACATGTCATGCCTCTTGCCTGCTGGCATGGATTAATATCCATAAATCAAAGAGGAAGGGACTGTTTTAAATGCTGGAGATGGAGGCTGGTCCTCAGAAAATTGCTAGAGGGGCATTAATAAGGAGAGACATCTGGGAACGGCTCCAGGTGCATTGGCTGCATGCAGGGGAAATTCTGCAGAACCAGTGTCAGCTGGAATGTATTCGTGTGCTGTGGGGACCCTGGGCCCCCATGTGCAGGCTGGAGGAGCCACGACTGAGGCAGGACTTTCTATCTGCCTCATCTGTGCTGGTCATGCAGTCACCATTTCCCATCCCCCACAGTGACTGGGCCCCCAAGGATGGGAGCTGCACCTCTCCCAGTGAGCCCCAGGTAAGGGCAGTCCCTGAGCACTGCCCCATAGGGCTGCGCTGAGATGGCATTGTGCAACCTCCCCCATCCCTGGGCAGGATTTGTGCTGGCTGGGGGCTCTTCTCCTCACCACATCACTTGCTAAAGCAGGGATAGAGCACTGGGATTGCACTAATCTCATTTGGTGTGCGTTTTCACAACCCTGATCTGCAGCCGAAGGGAAGGGGCTGGGAGAATTTTGCATTGCAGGGGAACCACCAGGGAGGAGCAGCTCCAGGAGAGAGCATCCACTGTCACACACATATGCAAAGAGAGGTGAGAAACCTGGCTGGTAGCAAGGGATGCTACAAAGCATCGTGTTCGTGGTATGAACAGATTATAGGGGAAAGGAAGAAGGCAGGAAGGCTGTAGGTGGAAAATGCTGAGCAAATGGCCCACACTGCAGCACCACTGCTGATTTTTGTGGGGTCTCTATATGAGCTGCAATAAGAGGAAAAGAAGGATGAAGAAGGCTAAGCATTTGGAAATAGCTCGATGAGCAGCCCCAGGTCCAAACAGTGGAGTGAGAGAGCGGATGTGGGATGGGAACCTCAAGCAAGGGATCCCTTGGGCTGCTGCATGCAAACCCACGTGTGACAAGGGCACAAGCAGGCTCAGCACGCAGAGTGGGGAATTGCTGTCTGACTGCATCTCTCCCTGATTTCATTGTGTTTTGTTTAATTGAATTGCACACACACATGCACACAAAGCCCCTGTGCATTGTGTGAACTCTGCAAGGAAATGAGCAGCATGTTGAGGAGGTGGGAGCGAAGCAGGTAGGTGGAAAGGGGCAGAAGGAGAGACCTGAAGGGGGACAGTGGGTGGGCTGGGGTGGGGGGCACAGCTCAGACCTCGGGGCCCTTCTGTCAGCTCCCTCTACAGCCTGGGCTGCTCTCTGGACACGAGACCCTGACCCAGGAGGAGGCAGCACTGCCTCACTTCCCATTGCTGCATATCTGCAGTGTTAGATGCGTGTCCAGCCTGGGCAACAAGCAAAGCCAAGGACAGTGCTGCTCTGTGATGCTCTACAGTGCCAGAGAAGTGTGAGGTTAAAGGACGTGAGCATCCTGCCCAGGCTTGCTGTGACAGGCCTCGCATGTGCTTTGTCACATCCAGCTATGAAAACACTCTTGGAACCAAGACATTGATTCAAAGGAGCAGCAGCATTGCAAATACATCTGCCTGTGCGAAGGAGAACTTCAAAAGGGCTGACAGTCACTGAGCCCAGCAGTAACCTTTGGCTAATTAGCTGTCTTGATTTCCTTGCAGTTTATTTTTACACTTCTCGTGCTCTGAAATGCATTTACTGTAATGTCAGAAAGGTCATGGTAAATAAAAAGCTCCCTAGCAATAACTATATCCTCCCCACTGGGCTTTGGCGACTGATAACTTGTGGGACAGGCAGGTTGGCAGTGCTTTGCTGAGGGTTTTGTCTTGCACAGGGCTGTGCTGGGGGCAACAGAGGTTCCTGGGGCAAAGCAGGTATTTCTGAGCAGTGTGATGGACAGAGGGCACATGTAAAAGTGCTCTCCTGAGGTGAAGACTCAGGTGACCAGAATGGGGAAGTGAGGTCAGGAGAGCAGCGAGTAGATAGGTGGGAGCAATGCTGATGCTTGTAGAGAGGAGCAGGTGGGACCCCTGTACCCCTGGAAGGAAAAATCCTGTACCAGCCATTGTGCTGCTTCTCCACCCCCACCTGCAGCTCTTCTAGGCACAGACACAGCCCTTTGCTCTACTCGTGGTGCCACGTCCCCAGCAGGACCTGACCTCCTTGCCTGGCCTAGCAAAGCCTGCCTGCCCCAGAGAAGCCAACAGGATGGATAGCTTCCATTTGGCCAAGGTCTTGGGGTTAAACTGGGGGGGTGACCACAACCCTGCTTCTCTCCACAGGAACATGCAGCCCATGCTGATTGCATGTGGGCATCCTCCTGCAGGCTCCAGCTCAACACTGGGCAGAGCCTCATCACTAGAAAGACAAAGGGTGAGAAAACAACTTCGTTATCTCTGTGCTGTGACCTCCAGTGCAAGCCACTCAGCGTGCGGCTCCCCTGCATTGTGCACAAAGATCAGTGGAAGGAAGCATGGAGCTGAGAAGACACCGTTGCGTTAACGAGCAGAAATAAAGCCACTTGTAGAGGATGCTGCTTCCACAAGGTGGGATTTCACCCCATATATCCTCATGCATGGGCTGTGTCAGTACCGAGTCCGCAACATCATGCCATGCAAAACAAAGAGGGAATAACAGCTGGGAACTGGACCTGCACCACGGGATGTGCTACTGGGAAGCATCCCATGGTGAGGACTGCCCCATCCCACCTCGCTCCGAGAGCAAGGGCAAGGAGTAAGACATCAGTGGGATCATTAATTTCATTGTGGGTTTACAAGCAGTGAAATCTGCTCCTTCCTCTCTGCAGAGTCAGCAGCTCCCCCCACCATGTATTACATTTTAGTCTGTAAGTGCAAAGTGATTTCCGTTGAGGGTAGGGACGCTGAAGCACAGAGAAAAAGGAGAATAATATCTTATCTTCCTTTAATCCCCTCCATCCCAAAGGGTCGCAGAGCCGTTAGCTTCCCTTTCCGTATGTACGCACAGTTAATTAGCATTGCTAGAGAACTGCAGGTATTCTCAGACTTAGTGGAGGGAATATCTTGTAATAGGACGGTAAGCAAATTGTTTCTGCTGCTTCTATTACAGCCGGCTTTGATTATCCGGGGTAATGGGATAACAGGGACAAAGCAAAAACATGGATAACATGAAACCTATGCAAATGAAGCTGGGAAAAAAAGTGCTGCTGAGAGTAATGGAGGAAAGAAAGGTCAGCAATGCTGATGAAGGAGCGTGGAGATCCCTGTGCTAGCACTGCCATGAGCTCACAAGCCCATGCATAATGGTACCTGGGTTCACAGAATCACAGAATGGCCAGGGTTGGAAGGGACCTCAAGGATCATGAATCTCCAACCCCCCCTGCCACGTGCAGGGCCACCAAGCTCCCCATTCAATACTAGACAGGCTGCCCAGGGTTGGGAGCTTCTACCCCAGGCATGGAGCTGCTCAAGAGAAGCTGTGGGATGAGAGTGGCCTTGCAGATCCATAGGTCCTGGCCCTATAGAGGGAGCAGAGATCTTCCCTGGATGGTACAACCAAGTTACAGCAGAGGGAGGGGAGCTGCATTAAAGCCAAGCACTTCAAAGCCTCCACATGAGGGATATGTCATTAAAATACATAAGATTTGGGCACCCAACCCTCCTCCTCCTTACACAAGCAGGAAGAAGCCCAATTTAAAGGTCAGCATCTTAAAATCTTTCGCTGTGTATATACCAGGATAACTCAGCTCCAAACAGAAACCCCACACCCGCTTGATGAGCCACTCTTTGTAGGAGCATGGCAGGAGCACCGAGAGCCCAATCAGTGCAAGGGTAGGGGCTGTGATAAAGCAGGAGGAGAGATAACAGAGGAGCTCCAAGAAGATCCAGCCCCAACCACATCTGCTTGGGCAAAGGACCGGCCCAGCAGTCCTTGATTTGCTCTGTAGGCCCCCATCCCTAAAGGGGAATTTCAAATCCACAACAGCAACGTCATGGAGGCAGCTCTGAGAAATCTCTGGTGGTGGGTGGATGGAAAGGGCACCCGTGGAGATGAGCCAGAAAGAAGAGAGGGAGGAATCTTGGAGGAAGACTAACCTTCTTAATAGGTTTTATTGATTTAACCCAAAGAGAGAACAGTAGGGGGAAACTTATGCCATTTAAATGCAAACCAGCAATAAAAATAATCATTAGAGTCATAATCTCAATCTGTTAGCATTTTATGTAGAAATGAGCTTAATGGGAAATGTTTTCCATGTAAACTATTTGCATTCACTTAGTACGAATAAGCCTCTTAAATATAATTCAGTCATTACCACTGAGTTTTATTAAGAGGTTGGTTTGGGTCCTAATTGCTTTAAAGTGTCTGTCTTGGGAAAGCCGCTGGCCTGCCCCAGCCAGGATTTAATGTTCATATCCCCATGGATATTCTTGTTTCCACACTGAGAATACATGTGGATTTTGATGGCGTTCAGAAAACGTCACTCTTCACCCAAACTGCACTGAGATTTTGGGACTGACCAAGGAGGGGCCGCATTTCTCAGTCAGATACTGGGGTCTTTGCAGAGGAAAAGTAACTTCAGAGCACGTTTCCAGGCCCTTCATTTCCTACAAACAGCGAGAAGCATCTGACAATCTTTCTTAGCAGCTTTCTCCCTCGTAAAATAAGAGGAAAACATAGGCCATAGGGAGGGGGAATCAGAGGCACCCAGCAGCTCCAAAGAGGCTTTTTCTGGCCACTGCCCTGTCCCCAGGATCAGTCTCCATGGGGCATGGCTCTGTGCATGTGCAGATGCTCCGGGGATGTCACCAGCCCTGTGCCACCCACGCCACGCGCACCTCACAGCCACAAAGAGAGAAATAAATACCCTCTTCTGCCTGGGGACACCTTTTAATCTTCTTGCTAGATTTCCATGCCCCAGTCTGGAGGCTCAGTGGGGCCAGCCATGATCTCATTTTGCATCCCACCCACGGGGCTCTGCACAGCTGAGCCTGCTGCTTGTGCCACGTGCCGGTAGGGGCTGGGGTTGCTGCTTCCTGGCGTCCCAACCCTCCACAACAGCCCAAATCCTATCCCACTAGGAAAAGCATCCTATGGAGGGAACAGTAGTGATGCAGTCAAGGTGCTGGACCTTGCTGGTGGCAGGACACACAGACACCACAAGCAGTGGCTTTCCAGGATGCCATGGCAGATGCTGCCAGGCTCAAAGGGTGGCTGGTGCTGCCTGGCACAGCACTCCATTGGGCCAGGTGACGCTGCCCACCTGGTGCATTTGGGGTTTCAGATCTCTTCCAGACGAGCCCCCAGATTTTGTAAAATCTGGGTAACTTCAGGATGCGTGTGAGGTTACCCTCACCAGGCTCTGCTAAGAGTAATCAGAGCTTCAGGCCATAAGCCGATTCCTTGTGCATCTCAGGAAGGAATTAGCCCTGTCTCCCCCGTCCCACACCACCATGCAGCATTTGCACAGCTCAAAGGACTTGAGTCCCAATGCAGATTTTGTCCCAGGGTAACAAGGGCCCTATGAGAGGCAGGGGAACTCTATGTCAGCCACCACCTCCCCCCTCCCAGAGGCTCCTGCCTCGTTTCTCCCCCAGTTCTGCTTCTGCTGGCAGCAGGAATTCCTCTACGTTTGCTGAGCAACGTGTTGCAGTCTGCAATAGCTCACCCTGGCTGGAAGCTCATCCTTGTGTGTAAATACTGTGTGCAACTGTGTCTTCATTTCATGTTATGGAAGTGCATCCAAAGCAGCTAAGCAGACTTTCTCTGCAGTGTGGATGGTGTAAATGATCCAAATTTAACATGTGGTTACATGGTCTGAAGATTTCATTGAGCTTTCAGGTCGGATGGCACTGTAACTGCAGTCCGGCCTCCTGGCTGCTGGGTTTTGCCCCGGGGTTTAAAGCGAGTTGGGCTCTTAAGCTCCAACCTTCTGATGCACAATGAGTCCAGTTTGTAAGCAGGAGCAGTGGCTGCTGCAGGCAGGTGGTTCACAACCTACCCGAAAACCAAAGACCAGAACCTTGCCCAGCAGTTCTGAAGGGCAGCAGGTTCTGGCTGACAGCACATCCACAGACTGGGTTATTTTGCTATAGCGTGTTTGACTTGTGAAGTGAAGGTAATGAATGGTTCTGAGGTCAAAGCCGTTATTCAAAAGCAATATTGTTATCACTGCTTCCATCTGTAAGCCTTGCTATTCCTTGCTATTCAGAAGCCAGCGCTGTCACAGAACAGCAAGACAGGTGATTGCCTGGGGTCTGCCAGGTGGGTCACTGAGACAGACTGGGACTAAGGGACTGCTGAGGAGAGATGTGGCACCAGCAGCCCAGGAGCCATCCCACATCCCTGCCCCAGTACTGGGTGGCACTGGCACGGGGATGAGGGGCTGGGAAGGAGCTGCATGTCCCCGTGCCCAATGTCTTGTGCCACGTGGCAGATTCCCAAGCAGCTGGGAGAGGACGATGATTTCTATTGCCAGTTTTCTAATTTATCTAATGAGCAAGAAAATAAATCAAGCTGACAGTCACCCAGGTGGTTCTGAGCTTCTGCTGGCTCCTCATGGTCCCCTTGTTCCTCCAGCCCATTTGATAGCAGGGTTATAACCTGAGGACGTGGCAATAATTCCTGCTATAATCTTTTCTTTCCTAACGTCACTTAGCAGATGGAGTCATTTAGAGGTGCTCATGTTTATATGAACGGCTTGCCCTGAAAGGGACGGAGCCGGGGATGCTGGCAAGATGTTTGGGATCGTTAGCCTAGAAAATGCTTAGCAGGGGAAGCAGTTGGCAGGCAGATTTCACGGACATGGCGCCGGTATCTTCTGCCAGCAAAATTACAAGGCTGAAATCCTTGAGCTGGATGGGGCCAAACTGTTCACAGCAAACAATTTAATTGATGAATGAAGTGGATTGCCCAGGAGATGGTTTTCAGTCATCTGCTCATTGCACGAAGCCACTTGGAGGAAGAGCCATGCCATCGGGTGTCACCAGCTGCCCATGTAGGCATGGGCTGGCTGGGGGTCCCCAACCCCACACTCTCCTGGACCTCTGTGCCTCAAATGAGCAGCCCAGTGCCATGAGCACAGCCACCTCCAAGCTCGTCTGCTTCATCTCACCAAATGCATTATGCTTGCCTACAGATCCTGCTGCTATCAGGTCACTGCAGCTAGAGCCATGATGCTACCACGCTGAAGATGTCAGTGCTGGTTTGAGTGGGCCCCTACACAACATGAAAAAGAACAAAGCCAAACTAAACAGCAACACTGCCTTGTCAGCCTCTGCAAGAAGTGAGGTGGCAGCCTCAGAGGATTCTCCTCTCCAGCCCTCTGACCCTCTGCACAATACCACACAGCTGCCAGCATAGGCTTCTTTCATCTGGTCGACTAGAGTAAACGACCTCTCCATCTCCTCAAAAGTGAATAGCCATGAAAATGCACATTGAGATGAAAGTTTACAACCCTTGAAAATGTTCTCTTGCTTGTGAAAGGGCTTCTGAGAAAGAAACAAAAGGGACAATGAGTGCCAAGGAAGGGGGAGATACTGCTCATGCTGCTGGGCAGCATTTGACCCGTCCCATGCAGAGGTTGGGCAGAAGAAGGAGACAAGGGGTTGAGACCAGCAGCTGCAGTCACTGCCCTGCAGGAGCAGCATCTCAGTGTCCACAGAGCCCAATCCCAAATTATTCAGCTCAAGTGTTCTCAAACTCTTATTCTGCTGCTTTCTGGCAGGCATGGTGCTTTCTCTGCAAGTCCCATTTTACATCTTTGGTAATTCAGTGCAGGTGTAACACTCAATTGTGAAGACCCAGCAGGAGCCTGTGATGCAGGCATCTTCAAGACATAGGGCTTATCAGTTCAAATAACACAACTGTCTTTTATCTTTTGTGTCCCAAGCTGTTCTGGCACTCATATTTGTAATTTGTTGCCTGGCTCTGGGTCTGGCTCCAGCAGGACACTCACTGCTGTCCATCTGCCTGCATTGCTGGCATTTCTGTGTCCACCCAAGGGACCTGAGTGCCTATGCTCTGCTTATCTTTGCATCCTCATTGGCCAACAGTCACTTTGAAAGCAAGCCTTGGGAGCTGTAGACTTGCAGGTGCTTTCAAACAATGCGCCCCAAACCCAAGCTGCTCATCAGTCCCTACCTCCCAGCAACGACTGCTCCCTCTCCATCCCATATGGCCTCCAGCAGTGCCCAAACACCCAGCACTACCATTCCACCCATGGACCAGCACGCCTTTCACCAGCACTGCATTCTCTTCAAAAGAGGATAAACGAGGTAAAAGAAGAAAAGGTGAAAACATGATAATAGCTGTGGGAAAAGGGCCACTGCTATAGATTCGACAATGCTGGAAATGGAGGCTCTGAGAAAAGTTTTTCTCCTGAAATTATTCTTTTCAACCTCAACAGCTCACCGAAGAAAAGTTTAAGCACACTTTTTAACACCTTTTGTACTCAAATTCCAAATTCACTTGTCTACCCGAGCAATAACAGGAATAATCTTTTTTATCCAGCTGCACATTCTGCTGTCAAAATTTGTTTCCATTAAACTGTTCCCTTTTGTCCTCTTAAAAAGCATATTTTAAATAATAACAGGGGAAAAAAAAATAAATTATACACTATCCAAAAACTCAACCCTGTCGACTGTGCACTTTTATACAAAAGTTATCTCCTTCTCTCGATGAACTGATGAAAACCCTTTTCATAATGCTGAGGTGGAGATGAGAAAGAGGAAGAATACTTCTCAGTGCGCCCAGCACAGCCACTCATTTCAACAGGAAGCACATGGCAAACTCCGGGCTTAGAAAACTAAATTACAGCACCAAGGTGAACCCGACGTTCTTTTTTTTTTTTTTTTCTGCTTTGTAAAAAACCATTCTGTGGAAGTTGGAATGGAGGAACACATTGAGCTTCTCATTCAGGGGAAAAAAAACGCGTTTTTTCTATATCCCTTAAATCTTAACAGGAGAATGTGAATTCAAGCTAATATATATATAAAAACCATAATAAACTTGCACTGCTTGCACACCCTCAGCAGTGTAGCAGCTGCAGCTCACTCGTAGTTCCTCCAGGAAGGTCCATGCTCAGCACCCAGCTCACCATCCCTCTTCCCCATGCCCAGCTGTCTCACATCAGTCTCCTTCTCTCACTCTGGACATGCAAGTATGAAGGTTGCTCCCTACCTTTGTGCCTGTGTGTTGCTGCTGGCTCCTGCTGAAGTCATGAAGGTCTGCTAGTTGGTGTCTGTAGGGGCTGCGGGGCACAGTGGGCACAGCATTGGGGGTCCTGCAGGACGGTCAGCACTGGTGTTGGAACTGCAAGGGCAGAAATGAAAACGTTAGGGGGAAATTTCATTGGGGTATAAAGTGTTGAGTAACACGAAGCTGTCCCAGGGACAGCATGGCTGCTTCAGTTGCTGCAGTGCAGGGAGCAGATGGGTATGGGAAGAGGACCATGGAAAGGTCCCAGCACTGAGAGCAGCTGCTCAACATCACAGTGCAAAGGGAATCCATCTGCTAGCAGAGGAGGGGCTGTAAGAAATGTTGGGAGGACTGAAGTTAGAGAAATGGGACAAATGGGGACAGACTGGGATGCAGAAGACAGATAGCTCTGGGCATGCACGGGGCAGATACCAGCAGGGATATCAGCACAGAACTCCTCGAGGAGTGCAGAGCCACCACCAGCACCAGCCACACTGCATGGGCAGATTTCAATAAGCTTAATCATCTTTTCACATGGGAATCAGATGTGCTTTTAATTCTTAATTGCCATTTTATTGTCCTCACTGCTCACTTCTCACCCCCTTGTTGTTCTTGGATCTGGGTGCCTGGCTGGCCAGGGCTCCCTGTCCTCATCACTGCTGTCAGCCTCCAGCTTGCTCTGATGTGAGACCACCAGCACAGCAAGAAGTGACACTGACCACAACAGGACTCATCTGCACAACACCCAGTGCCTTGTTTCATTATCATCAACACGATAACAATAAGAGCGACATTAGCAACAAGCACTTTATTATCCCTCCTGCTATCCTCATTCAGACGTGGCATTCAGAAAGACAACCCAAACTCAGTGTGAGATCCAGGGGGGCAGGGCAGTTAATTAAACATCAGAGTGATGGGCAGAGCTGGGATGAGCCAAGAGTGGCAGCAGAGCTGGACAACCCCTGCCATGCTCAGGGAGATGGATGGATCTGGGACACTGCCAGCCCTGTCCCCCAGCAGAGGCAGAGCCCTGCTACATGCACACATCTTTACACCCAGCCTTGCTCCCTGCTTGGTTGCTGTTTCATTGACTTATGCAGGTGAGAACGTTTTCTGGAGAAAGCTGCCTCCCAAGCTGTGCTACCGATTGCCATCTGATCTGGTGACATTTTATTACCTCCAAATAATGCCGAGAAAATAAAGAGCCCTGCTGAAAAAATGGCCGTGTCTTAAGCGTGGTTTTTAAGCAGCACGTGTGAACTCACAGCAAATAGGAGACTTTCTTGCTATGGGTTTCTTCTCTTTCCAAACTAGGCATTAGCCAGAGAGGCAGGTGGAGGACAGCGAACAAAGAGAGAATGGCAGCTGGAGGGTGTTGCAAAACTCCAAGAATAAATATTGCAGAAGAAAAGCAAGCCTGTGACAGATACCAGGCAATCTGTAAGTCATCTGGAGAATGGAAAACATAATGGACTAATCAATCAGGTAGACAAAGGGTGAGAAGTGTCACGGGGAGGCAATAGGTAGTTGGAGGTCAGTTATGAAATATAATCTCTAAATTGGAGAGAGAAGGACAGCAGAACAAGAACAATGGCAGGTAATTGAATGCAGGTAGGTGAACGTTGGGCTGGTGGTTTCCAGGAGAGTGAATGTCAGATGAGAATATTACGGTAAGAACAAATAACCCGTACTTTTGAGATGGGAACCTATTCTGTAAAGTGAAAGCCACGCTGGTGAGGCTTTAAAGTGCAGCTTCGTTTCAGAAAATGCTGTTCAAAGACAGACAGCGGGTTTCCCTGTTGCTCCTTCCTTTGGGTTTCCAGACAAAGTTTGGCTGGCCAAAAGGAGAACAGTGATGCTTTTCCTATGCATAAATCCTGCAAATACCACCTGGGACCTGGAAGCCAAGCCAGATCCCTCCTGCCTTGTGCTTTCTCATCAGTGATTCTGGCATGAGTAATCTCTAATCTAGTTAGCAGGGAAGTTGCACACTGCTATGCATGAGAAGATGGGGATTCTGCAGGTGAATTTAATTATTTCTTCTACAAAGAAAGTGGGAGTCAATAAAGCACAGCTCGCTCTCCATTAGCTCTCTGGGCTGCACAGTGACAAGAAGAGCTCAGGCAGCTTCGTTTACTCTCTTGCAAAGCTAAGCAGGTAGATTCCCATTACACCCAAGCAAAAACTTGACGTAGCATGAAGTCATTTCTACCAACACTTATCTGACCTTACCAATACACTACAAAGGCATCACACAGCCCTTCTAACAACAGCTAGACCCAAGCAATTAGAGCTGAATGAACAATTCATAATTAATAATCTCTTTGGCAAACTTCACCTCATTTTATGCTTATGAAATGTTCACACACACACTGCAAAGTTCTCACAGTTATTTGTTAATGGAAATAACTTGCCATTTTTCCCTTGAGCAAACAGCACTGTAACAGCTCATTGCAAACAATCTATATTCAAAATGTAGGCTGTGCTTGTGGGCTGTGCAGGCCACGTGGTGCTGTTTCACCTCCCAGTTGGATGAAGGACCCAAAAGGCTCCAAGAACTACAAACGAGGACTGTTGTTTCTGTCATACAACCCTGGGGCTATGTGGTTCTACAGCTGATGGAGTGGGTCAGGTAACTCCTAAGGCCACTGGACACCAGGGATGAGAAGCAATGGCTTTAAGTAGCTCCAGGGGAGAGTCAGGTTGTATACGAGGAAAAATTACTTCTCAGAAAGAGTGGTGCAACACTGGCACCATCATGTCACCATCATGGAGGTGTTCCAGAGCTGTGGAGTTGTGGCACTGAGGGATGTGTGGCTTGGTGGTTATGGTGGGAAAGAGCTGGGGTTGGAATTGGTGATCCTAGTGCTGTCTTCCAACCTTAATGGTTCCATGACATGTTGGAGAATGTGGAGAACTTAAGCTGAAAAGCCTGGAGGACTCCCTTAAACAGCGCTTTTAATTCTCTGTGCCTACCCTGTCTGGGCCAGGTGCTGCAGAGGGAAGGTCAATGGTTGGCAGCTGAGAAGGGGACAACCCAACCCGGCTGCCAGCAAAGCTGAAAACAACGTATGCTCCCATGGTCTGAGACATGCAGAGAGATAAGAGAGCAGAGGGCAATAAATCAGGCTTTGAAAGCAGAGCATATTAGGAGATCAATGGGACAGATATTAGACTGAAGAAGCAAGCTCCGAAGAGATCAGAGCAATTCTGTTCTTCCTCCTTCCCCCTGTTGCTAAGGAATTTTTTTTTCATTTAACATCCTCATTGTTTTTAAATGAGCAGCAAAGCCAGTGGGTTCCACGTGGCATTAGCAATGTGTTTGTGAAAGGGAAAGCGACTGGCTCCTAGCAGGATTTGATAAAAGCCTCTCCAAGCTCCGAGTGATTTACAGCTCTGGAAAACAAACACAGACTGATACAAATGCAGAGAGAGGCACCAATGGCACCGACATCCAGGTACACTCAATTACCAATTCATCAGCCCAAGTGAACTTGAAGAGCTTTTCAAACTCTACACAGCTCTAAATTAAAGGAAATCTTTAGACGAATAGCATCCTTAGACGAATAGCATCCTACGACAGAGGGAGGGGGGGGGGGAGAGGAGGTCCAATTTGCTGAACTTCAGCTGGAGAGATCTGTCCTGCCATGGGTAAAGGCCATGAGCCAGGAGCAGCGGGCAGCTCCCACTCCTCACATTGCACCCACCTGCCCCACTTGCCCCCTGTGCCCTGACCCACCAATCTTCTTTTTCCTGGCTTCCCCTCAAAATCTTGCTGTTCCTTGCCCTAGAGGTGTTTATGGCAAAGCTGGGATTTTTTGAATCATTGACTGGAACAAGAAAAGAAACAGAGGAAAGAAAAATCACTATACAGTGACCTCACATTAGAATTGCCCAGGTCCTCTGTGGCAAAGATATATACATACAACTACATAGGGCCAACCAATTGGTTAATTCAATCTGAAACTAACTCATGGGGAGTGCCGTTTTCCCTCCATCCTCAGCCTAGAGACCCATTTTTTCACCAGAAGAGTTGATTTATCGCTTCCCAGCTCCACGCTCCAGCAGCCCTGACACTAATGGGGCGTTTGATAACTCCCCACACTGCACTGAGCCCCTCAGCAGTGGGCTTCGTGCTACTGCCATCAAAACTGGGAGGCAGCCGAGGGTAACGACAGCATGGAAGGAACGTGAGGAGCCGGCCGCTGTGAGACTGCAGGAAGCTCTTTGTTAATTGCTCATGCGGAAACTGTTTTTGTTTCGATATTTAATTGATATCTTGGGGAAATGATAACTTTGGCACAGACAGCTCGTCCTCCCCAGACGCTGGCTGTGCGTGCCCAGGTGAGGTGCCCCGTGCAGTAGTGCCCATTCGCTGGCCCCAGTGAGGTGGTGCTGCCCCATTCCCCCACCCCATGTCTCTGTGCCTTCCCCACAGAGGCAAGCTCCGCAGAGAGCTGCATTTCACACAGAGCCCAAAGCCCCGTGGAAGGACTCTGCCTTCCTCCAGGACCACCTCTTGTCCTTCACACCCCTCTGCTCTGCTCCCGGAGGGCAGGGATAACCCATATCCCTGCAGGAGCCAGCAACATCACCACTCCTCCTGCCAGATGGAGCATCTCAGTTTCCCACTGGATATCAGCCTTCTTCTCTTCTCTTTCCTTAGGACTCCTCCAAAGACAGCAGCCATCTCTCTCACACAGCTGCCTCCAAACCATTTAACAGCACAGCAGGTATTTTAATCATTCCCACCAAGCGCGTCTTGCTTGTTAACAACTCTCTGAAGCTGTCCTAGCCAGCACAGGGGTAGAGATGAGCCCTGCCGGGCAGCTTCCCATGCCCCAGAGCAAAGTTTGGGTCTGCAAACCAGCTGTGATTGCATGCTGTCACTGAGGCAGGGGTGGCACATGGGTGAGGAGCACCCCAGCAGATCCGCCTGATCCCACGCACACCCATGCACCAACCCAGGCTTTTGCATGACCAGTGTTACAGCATCCCTCATGCTGTGGACCCCGAGTAGCTGCTGAATGTTATGCCAGTACTGCGAGCTGCTCTGCCCCATGCTGATAGATTAGCTCTTGTCATATTTTAAGAGCACTGGAATTACCAAGCTGCAAGGAAACGGATTGGTATTTATACAGCACAGCTGGGCAGCTCCAGATGAAGACAATAGCAGGGATGGCATGCCTTCTTGCTGCCTTTTGTTGCTCTTAGGGTTGTATGCAAAGAGCTGCTGTGGAAACCAAGCCCTCAGCGACATGCTGCAGCATCTCTACCTGCTTCTTCCTTCCTGGTACCATCAAAAATATTGGCTGTGACAGCATCTATTCCCATGCACTCCTGACCCATAAACAGTAAGGCCCCTCTGTGGGCCCTGGTGCCAGGGCTCAAGGCAGAACATGCTCATCTTTTGCAAGAGGATATAGCTAGAGGAAGAAGGATGATATCCTTCTGACCCAGCTGGAAGGGGACAGCAGGTGTTAAATGGAGCAGGGCTTTGCAGCCGGCTGCGCTCAGCCCTGGAGCTGAGCATCCCCCTGCTGAAGGGCTGTGGGCTCCTTCAGTTTGAGCCAAAGTATCCATTAAATGTGAGCTTTCATCTTCAGACCTCGGGATTTCTATCTGAGGTTGCTCCTTTCTCTTGGAGGTTGCTCTCATTCATTTCTCTTATTTCTGACAATTATTAAAAGGCTTTTCTTCCTTGCCTTCCTTGCCTTCAATCACCATTGCCTTGACGTAAGTTTGGAGGACTTCCAAGAATATTCAGGACCTGCTTTCCTCCCGCCTCTAGGTGAGCAAGAGCCTCACCATGAGTAACACTAAGCTCCAGTGGGAACATCCCATGGGCAAAGCCTGCTGGTGGGGTAAAGCCCCACTACATCTCCTTGTTGCAGAGCTGTGGTCTTCGAGCCTCCTGGACTTCCAAGGCCAGCCCCTCTCTTTGTAACCTCCTGTGCTTTTTAATGCTAATTTCCACCACATGCCCAATTCGAAGCTCTGATAATGAACAACTGCTTTCTTCCTTTCCTTCTGATTTCGTATACATGAGTCAGGGTTTCCTGGCACTAAACGTAAATGCTAAACGGAAATCGCTGCACAGTGACATGTCTGTGTAGCTTCACTGTCCATTTATTTGCCTTTTCAAAGAGCTGCTGTGTTAAGCAAACATCTCTGCCTGGATCCTA